TATATATATATATATATATATATATATATATATATATATATATATATATATCCCACCAAATGGCATATGATAGTTGAAACACTACACGACACATTACACGAGACAAAAAAAAAAAGTATTTTAAACGCTCCGAAAGAGAAAATCATAATACTAACCACGATTACACTATTAATGGTTACAACATTGAAAAAACATCATAATAGATAAAAGGCCCCATAGTTATTTGAACCGGCTTCAAGGGGCCCCACACGCAGACAATAAAAAGAACTAAAACATCTAAGTACCATCGAGAATCATAACCCCGAAAGGGTTACAAAACCATGCCGGATTTCACGACAGGGATTCATTGGGCCGCACCTAACCGTAACCGGTACAAGTACCAAACCGGTACACATCGGATCAAATTATTTCCCGCAAATAATTATAATTGAGAAATCAGGGCAATTATTTTCAGTGATAAAGAACAAGACGACGATCGCAAGAAGAGCAATGGTATCTCCTCTTGATCCTGAAACAGAGTGTCACGAAACAGAAGTTCCATTTGCTCTCGACGTCGAGCGCGTGTACTTTACCTCCGCAGTACGGACACGTCCCTGGGGCTTGCTGTCTTCCCAGTTCTGTCTCTTGCTCGTCGCATAAGCACATCAGACACATTCTTTCCCTCCGAATCTATTTTTCTTTCCTTTTACCTTCAGATATTTGGTTTTCCAGAAAGATTTTCCCGGAAAATCACACTGGTTTCTCTCGCTGGGTATATTCGAAGTTCTTCTCTGGTCTGGAATTTTTTCTTTCCGGGTGGGTTTGTGAGTGTTGTTGTTGGGTTGGTGAGAAAATTTTCTGGGTTTGAGAACGGAATTTTCCCGGAAAAGCTGCACTTTTCTTGTTTCTAATCTGTTCAGCTCGGATTTTTCTCTTTGAGCGATGAGAAAATTCTCACGGATCTCGTTTGGCTGGCGAGAAAATTTTCTGGGTGTGGGAAAACGATGAGAGAAAATGTGGCGGACGGAGAATTTATAAAGAGAGCGGATAAACGGCGTTGGTAATTAGGGGTTACCTTCTGTTTTTATTTACCATTTACCACTTCTGAATTACTTCTAAGTCAAAGACGGTCAAATATCTTATGGTTAAGAGATATAAATTATAAACTATGCTTGAAATCCAAATCATAAATACAGTTCTATTGATCTCATACATTAGAGATATATACGAAAAGAATCTCTTGGAGATATATACGAATTTCTGATCGGGATATAGTGAGTCAAATCCTCGTAATTTTATTAAATTTCATTTAATGATGCACATTTGACCAAAGAAGGAAATATGTCAACATACATAAGCTTTTACCATAATTTTTCATAATTCCAATTTTCCATAACAATCCGAGAACAACCATTCAGATAACGTTTCTGTTTTAATAGATTAGATCCTCCAATGCATACATGTGTTTGTATATGCGTGTATATAAACATACATAATCATTAGTGCTTTAAGTATATCCAATTTAGGTTAATTAAGATAGATAGACATGTGTGTAATAATTGTACAAAATCTGTAATTAAATAGTTAGACATTTTTTTCATTTTTCTAAAAAATGCGTGTTCAAAGCCTGTTACCCCACCTTAATTAAAACTTTAGTAATGGTAAAAGATATGTAATCTACTAATTATAATTTTGTATTAATTTTCTGGATCTCATGACAATTCAACCTTATTAACACTGAAGAAATAAAACTCTCGAAGGATTGAAAAATGCTTCACACCTTTATTTACTCGGTATTCATGGGTTATTTATACAACTCGATTAACAAATCTAACAACCTACAAATGATAAAAGAGTGAGCAAAACAGAAGAATATTCTACTAACAAACAATCTATACAGCCACTGTAAGTATAGCCCAGCTGGAAGAGATTTGTGCTGAGTCCTCGAATCAAAGAACCGCCAAAAAATAACGTTAACCTTCTGTAATATTTGATACTCCCCCTCAAGATGGAGAAAACACGTTGTGAGTTCCCATCTTGGAAACCAAATGACGAAAGAGTGCTCCAGCCAATGGTTTAGTGAAAAGATCAGCAATCTGATCCCGTGAATTAACGTGCAAAGGACGAAGAAAACCAGTCTTGATGTGCTCCCGAACGAAGTGGCAATCGATCTCTATATGCTTAGTGCGCTCATGGTACACCGGATTGTTTGCGATGTGAATTGCGGACTGGCTGTCGCAAAACAGAGTAACAGGTCGAGGAACAGCAATTTGAATTTCATTCAGCAAACCAGAAATCCAGAGAAGTTCAGAAGTTGCTTGTGCCATGGATCGATATTCTGATTCTGCGCTACTACGAGAAACGACCTTCTGTTTCTTCGATTTCCAGCTAACTAAAGAGTTACCAAGAAACATACAGAAGCCAGAAACCGATCTTCGAGTGTCGGAACATGCTGCCCAATCAGCATCAGAATAACCACTCAACCGAATCGATGGATTTGAGGAATAAAGCAGACCCTGAGAAGGAGCAGATTTAATGTATCGTAATAAACGAAAAGCAGCATCGAGATGAGCTGACCTTGGAGTAGACATGAACTGACTCAGCTTCTGGACCGAAAACGAGATGTCCGGACGAGTAACGGAAAGGTAGATCAGTTTCCCCACTAACTTGCGATACAACTTTGGGTCTGTCAAAAGGTCACCAGACTCTGCATGTAAATGGACCTTGAAATCCATCGGAGAAGAACAGGGTTTGCAGGATAGCATGCCAAATTCTTCCAACAATTCCAAAGCATATTTACGCTGGCAAAGATGAATTCCTTGTCGAGATCGTGCAACTTCTATGCCCAAAAAATAACGTAAAGCACCCATATCCTTGATCAGAAAATGTGAGCACAGAAGAGCCTTAACATCCTGGATCAGTGTTTCATTGTTGCCAACAATCAAGAGATCATCTACATATACTAAGAATGCAACAAAACCTGTCCCAGAATGTCTGAAAAATAAGGAATTATCTGATTGGGCTTGCAGGAAATCACCTGAAATCAGAACCTCAGAAAGTTTGATATTCCATTGGCGGGAGGCTTGCCGTAATCCATAAAGAGATTTCCGCAATCTGCAAACAGAATTCTGCGTAACAGTCTCCCCCTTAAGATCAGCATACCCGGGAGGAAGTTTCATATAAATTTCTTCAGTTAAATCGCCATTTAAAAAGGCATTTGAAACATCCATCTGGTGTAAAAACCAGTTTTGTGAAGCTGCTAAAGCCAGAAGGATTCTTACAGTTGTCATCTTTGCAACAGGGCTGTATGTATCAAGAAAATCAACTCCTTCCTGTTGTGAGTAACCTTTCGCAACTAATCTGGCTTTGTGCTTGTCAAGCGAGCCATCTGCGTGATACTTTACTTTATAAACCCATTTGCATCCAATTGGGGACTTATCAGATGGAAGTGGACAAATATCCCAGGTACCATTACGGATCAGTGCATCAAGCTCTTGGAGCATAGCATTCTGCCAAGTTTCAGATGTTGCAGCTTGTTTATAGGTCTTTGGCTCGGTTGATGTGGTGATAGAAAGGGAAAATTGACGAAAAGAAGGGTGGAAAGAAGAGTAAGAAATTATAGAAGAAAGAGGGTATTTAACAGAAGGTGAAAGAGGAGGTGGGGTATTATGTGTAAGGTAGTAACAATGATAATCAGATAAGTAGCTAGGGGCTTTAGTCAAGCGTTGCGATTTTCGATTGTTGTCTGAGGGCTGAGAAGAGGAAGGCACAAGATCAGAAGAGATCACAGGCCGACAAGATGGGTGGTCAGAAGAAACAGGGGGGTCATAGAGGAAGTATGAAAAAGGAAAGGTCGGGAAGAAATCTAAAGTAGAAGAAGGGATAGGAGACTTTGAGAAAGGATAAATAGACTCTTGAAATGTTACGTTTCTAGATATTGAAATCACATTGGTGTGTAGATTAAGTACTTTGTAACCTTTCACACCATGTGGATATCCGAGAAAAACATGTGGAGAAGCACGGGGAGAAAATTTGTGCCTGTCCCTTGAAATGGTGGAAACGTAACATAGACAGCCAAATGCTTTTAAGTGAGAATAAGAAGGACGTGTATTTGTCAGGACTTCAAAAGGAGATTTGTTTTGTAATAAAGGAGTAGGGATGCGGTTTATTAAATAAACTGCGGTTTGGATGCACTCAGTCCAGTAAGGCAGAGGAAGATTGGATTGGAAAAGAAGCGAACGAGCCACATTAAGAATGTGCTGATGCTTCCTTTCAACGACAGCATTTTGCTGAGGTGTGTAAGGGCATGATCTATAGTGAACAAGACCATGATCAGAAATAAGTGAAGGAAAAGACAATTCGGGTGCATTGTCGGAACGAAACGATTTCACAGCAGACCCGTATTGTAAAGAGACGTGCTTAAGAAACTGAGGAAAATAAGAAACAACATCACTTTTATTCTTTAATAAGTAGATCCAAGTAACTCTGGTGCAATCGTCCACAATTGAAAGAAAATATCTATGACCATTGACAGAACAAACGTGAAAAGGACCCCAGATATCTAAATGAACTAGATCAAAGGGTGCTTTAGACAAATTTCCCGAGGAAGGAAATGGATGTCGACGTTGTTTGGCAATGGGACAAATGGAGCAGTGAGAGAGTTGCTCTTTTGAGGAAGTAAAACGAGCTGAGATGAGTTGCCCAGAGCTTGGATGCGTAAAAAGGATGGATGACCGAGGCGTATATGCCAGAGGTCAAGTGATGCTGTTGTAGATAAAGTCGTGCATAGAGCAGATGGATAAACAGAGGATGAAGAAGAAGCTCCATTCACACTGAATAAGTAAAGGTTCTGATGAAGACTACCCTTCCCAATCATCAAGGCCCGAGTAGGGTCCTGAATCAAATATGAATCACAAGAAAAAGAAACGACATAAGGGGTTGATTTTGTCAAAGCACTAATACTTAGGAGGTTGAAATGAAAGGATGGAACGTATAAAACAGATTTGAGAGTCAAAAAAGGAGAAAGAATAATCATACCAGACTGAGTGACAGGAACAGAAGCTCCATTAGGTAAAGTAATATGTACGGTGGGAATAAGAGAAATCTCAGAAAACAAACGGAAATTGCAACAAATATGACTGCTAGCCCCAGTATCTAATATCCATATATCTCGAGAATCAGTTGGTGAAGAGGAGAGTGATGAGAGGGCAAAATGGTTAGAAAAAGATGTACCTGGTGGTGGGAGAGGGGTGGTAGAGGGTATGGCAGCAGCTGCAACATTAGAATCCGAAGCGAGAGTGCTAAGCCCTTTGAGCTGAGCCTGAAATTGGTCGAATAGAACCTGAGCTTGGGCGAGATGGGAATCGCCAAGAGACGTCACAGCGGAAGACTGGGAACCAGAAGTCTCGACATCAACCATGTTGACGGAGGGCTGAGTTTTATCAGAGAAACCCAGTTTCGGAGTGGGCAACAAACCAGATTTGTTACCGGAAGGATGAACGCCGGGAGGGTAACCGTGAAGCTTGTAGCAGCGGGAGATTGTGTGGCCCTGAAGTCCACAGTGAGTGCAATAAGGGCGTGACTTGGAGGGCTGAGATGAACGGGGCCTATAAGCAGAAGCAGAATGGGCTTGAAAAGCTACTGAGTCAGGAACAGCTGGCAAAGCCTGTCGTTGGTGGGCCTCTTGAGTGATCATACTATAGACACGTGAAATGTCAGGTAGTGGGTCTAACATAAGTATCTGTCGGCGGGCCAAATGAAAAGATTCGTTAAGTTTCATTAGGAAACTAACAACGTTCTTTTTATCCAGATACTCTGTCAAACGTCCTTTAGAATTGCAAGAGCAAAATCCACAGGTGCAAATAGGAACAGGGTCATGCATCTTCAGTTCTTCCCAGAGGGAATTAAGCTTTGTAAAGAAAGCATTTAAATCCATGGCCCCTTGCTGTAACAGTTCAATTTGCTGTTCGATGTGAAATTTTTTTGAAGTATTCTTCTGCTTATAACGGGTTTCCAGGGTCAGCCATTTTTTATGAGCGTCAGGGATATAGATGATCATGGATTTAACCTCAGGAGTAACGGAGTTGTTGATCCATGTACCAACCATGGCGTTGCATCGAAGCCAAGCACCGTAATCAGAACTCTTTTCAGGGGGTTGGGGAACAGTACCGAAGATGAAGCCGAGTTTGTTCTTCGCCGTCAAGATCTGGACGATTGAGGTGGCACAGACGTTGTAATTAGATTCATCAACCAGACGATCAGTCACCAAGGAGATGCTTGAAGAATCCGCAGCATGGAGATAGAGGGGATTAGCATAAGGATCGAGGGCGTTTGGTGCCGCAACCTCTGGAATGGTGGAATCCTCAGAATCAGACGCCATGAAAAAGAAATGGAGAAGAAGAAAAAGAAGGAAGAATTTTAGAAGAGCAGAGGATGACAGCTCTCTGATACCATATTAACACTGAAGAAATAAAACTCTCGAAGGATTGAAAAATGCTTCACACCTTTATTTACTCGGTATTCATGGGTTATTTATACAACTCGATTAACAAATCTAACAACCTACAAATGATAAAAGAGTGAGCAAAACAGAAGAATATTCTACTAACAAACAATCTATACAGCCACTGTAAGTATAGCCCAGCTGGAAGAGATTTGTGCTGAGTCCTCGAATCAAAGAACCGCCAAAAAATAACGTTAACCTTCTGTAATATTTGATAAACCTACCTTAGATGTCATGCTTATAAGTGAATATCCTTATGCATGAGAGAGAGAGAGTGGCAAAATTGATTTCATACTCCTATAAAACATATTCAACATAAACATTTACAGTAATCTGAATATTAATTAACAACCAAATCCCTTTTTTTTTATAGGGATGGCCCTTTCGGGTTCGGTAATTATTTGATTCGGTTGTTTCGATTTTAAAATATATATATACTAATTTATTATTATTTTGTATTCTGTTCGATTATATTCAATTACATTCGGTTTTTATTAAAAAAAAAATAGATTTTTCTTAACAGTTTTTTAGTTTTTGGATTTTTTAAATATTCGTTTCGTTCGATTTGATTTGAAGAATTTAAATTTCTAAAAAAAATTACCTTCGAACTTTGAATGATTCAATTTAAAAAACGGTACCATATTTTTCGGTTTGAAGATCCCGTACCGCCATTGGAGTTATTAAAATATTAAAGAATACAAAAAGGTTCGGTTGCAGAAGAAAACCGCAGACAGTAAGGCAATTGGAGCAGGCGAATGGAGACCGTCGGATCAGCATCTGCTCTGAATCTGGAAAGAAAAGAGTGGCCCCACTTGATGACGATGGACGGTCCAGATGACTTTGGACGTATTCGTCATGAAATTCACTAAACTCATTCCTCTTTTTGACGAGCCCACGGAGTCCGGCCCAAAGTTTATGCATCGCCGAATAGGGTTTTCCTCTCCGCGCCATTAATAACGTTATTTTTTTTTAAAACAAATAATAATCATATAATTATTACATAAGTACACGATGTTTAAACTTTAAACGTCGTTAAAAACATAACTGGTTTTACACGTAACCGATTTCCGCCAACAAAAAAAAAAAAGACAAGCAGTTTTTCCACACACACACATATATCTATGTATATATAATATATATATATATAATATTTATAGTGTTTGGTCCCACGCCTGTTTTAGGGTTTGGAGTTATTAAGTCAGAGTACGAATGTGTACAGTGTCGAGTGGTAATTGTCAATGGTGAAGGACATCTCCTTTTTTAATGTCTTCCCATGCTCCGTACGGACGTCGTCCCGTCGTCTATGGCAACAATAAAAAAGGACCAATTAATTTCTGATATTTTGTTGTAATGAAGTTCGAAATAAAAGCGTAATATGCTAACACTCTCTAATGTATGGCCCGAACTTAATATATACCATTCTTACTATATATGTATATACACACATTTTTAAATACTCGAATTCTGAAATTTTGGAAACAGCCCTTCATTTTTTTTCAATGAAACAGGCGTGTTACATTTTTTTTTTCTTCCATTTAAAATATAATTTCTTCACCAAATCAATTAATTGAATGCGTGAGAAGCCACGATTGTAGAAACTGAAATATGGATATTCTGTCGGCCCATCTAGATTTTCCTTTATATCAAACTTATCCAACGGACCAATGACCGATAAGGCTCTCTTTGTCGGCCCGTGTTTTTTTTTGGCATGGGCCAGCCACCAAAACTATACATTAGTAAATTAGAAGTATGAAATTGTTTTGGATACAAATAATATGAACTGTAATTATAGATAAACAAGCCAAAAACACATTTAATATTGCAAAATAAAAACTTGCAATTACACCAACCAGTCAACCCCCACCCAGCCCTCTTCATTGAAAATTTTTCCAAGAAGTAAAAAATAAAAAAGAAAAAAAGAACAAGAAACTTAAATAAATGCCCCATCCACATTACAACAATTTTTTTTTTAAAAAAAAAAAAGAGAGAACGAGAAAATCAACAAGTACCAAATGTAACCATCCCCCTCATGTAGTTTGTCAACTATACCCTCCACTTTTTTTTAAAAAAAAAAAAAATTGGAATCGTGTGTAGTAGAAGTCATACGAGAAGATATGAGTATATCTAACATAACCCTCTCATTTAGACGTACCACACACATATTACGATATTGAATGAATCAAAGTTCTACATATACATATATTTGTCAGCACTTTTCATGTTCGCGTGATCATTATAGGAACATGTATATACTTGTTACCATGTTCTGCAACTTTCCTCTCCTTGTACTTTCCTTTTCAATTAGGTTTACTAGCTTTGTATGTGTGTGTATATATATTAATTCTTCTCTAATATATGGACAAATTAAGTATTGCGCCGTGTATACCTCTACCTTATAATCATAATAAGTCATATAAATCTAAATTTAAATACAATATTTAGACGATTCATTTGCGCCAAGTAACACCGTGAATTTGCTTTTATTTGATAGAATAAAAATGAACCTAACATGTGAAAAGTTTGGTCCATGAAAAGTTCTAAAAATCTATAAAATAATGAAAAAATATTCTGCATCGGTTAAAAAATCAAAGGGTAATCACATAAAAATATCCGAACTTTTACAAAAATTTCAAATAAATACCCGAACTATAAAATTGTCATATAAATATCTGAACTTTTCAAAACTCTCACATAAATACCAAGACTTTTAAATTTTTTCCAAATCAAACAAACGCAACTGCTGACTCAGCAAAAAACTGCTGACTCAGCAAAAAAAAACTGCTGACTCAGCAAAAAACTGCTGACTCATCATTTAAAAATATTATTAAATGTTCAAATATTCATCTACATTTATTTAAATTAATATATGCATATAAATTCACATATATATATAAATATATATATATATATTAAAAATAAAATTATTTATAATTAATAAAACACATATACACATAACTACAATATATATATCATTACTAATGCATATATATTACAATAAAAATAATTATAATTAAATTTATTATTAAAAATAATAATAATGCATAAAAATAAAACACGACCCTTCACAAAAGTTGAAAAGCACTGGAAAGACAAAATATTATTCTCTCCCCCCCTCTCTCCCCTCTCTCATCTTTATATTCTCTTTTTGCTGGCTCGCCTTTTGAAGCTCGTGACTTGGGTTCCCTTTCGCCAGTCTAAATTTTCAAAAATGAAAAAAGATACTAGATTCTGTTTTCGCACTTCTCCGCATTATATATATACGTGCATATATATATATATATATATTCTAATAACTAGTTCACACATCTTGTTTCAATTGTATTTATGGACATGATATCCACGCTGTTTATGGTGAGACAAATCATTTTCATATAGTGTATGGTCAATAGACGATTCTTGAACATGGAGACTATGTAGAATGAATACTTTAATATGTACATGGTGTATATATATATATATATATATATATATCTTTGTTGACTTTTTTATATGGTGGGTATATATATATGATCTATCCATTCTTTTTTGGGGTGTAATGCATGAATATACATGGTTTATGGTCCCTATAACTTTCTTATGTTATTATAACCAAATATTGTTAGTCATGTACGCATAATGTTCACTTATATTATCTAATTCGGTTTCGAATATGTAATATTCACCGGATTGATCAGAAATTTATACGTAAATTGTGAATGCCTATGTCCCAATTTTTTTGTTTTTAATATCTAACGTTAACTTTCATTACTTGTGGGCCGACTAATATATACGGAGCCTGTCTACTCATGGCCTTGAATACATATAAGCCCATCCTACATCATCTTCGAGTTATAAGGCTACATTTATAGTAAGTATTTTAAGTTTTTTTTTTAATTTTTAGATTTTATTTTCGGTGGTTAGTTTTTGTAGTATCTAATAAATCTAAAAAAATAGAGTTTTTAGTTTTTAATTATTTTTTCCACTAAATTAGTTCTCCGAGTTTTTTAAAAAACTAAATATTTAAAATATGGACTTGTTTTTGTGTAATTGACAATGATTCAAACTTAGCTCTAAGAGTATAAATATTTTTTTTTTATCTTTAATTATTATTACAACAAATCCGGAAATTATTTCTTTTGGATGCAGCCGTGTTAGAATGGGAAATGCGCATCCCCGTAACCGTAACCTCCTTCGGTACGGACAAGGCATGGGCGAGAGGGAGAGCAAACATACGAGCGGAAGAACGAAAAGGTCTCGCGACGAGATGACTTCTCCAACTGCAGCAGCGAAATGGAAGCACACCTTTCTCTACTCAGCCCTAATTTTCTCTCTTCTCTACTTCCTCGAATCCCTAATCTCTCACAGGTTGCACATCGATCACCGCAACGTTCGCCTGAAGCGGTCCCCTGATCTCCCTCTCCGGTTCCGGCACGACGGAACATTCAAGATCCTCCAGGTTAGTTGTCTTGTCCCCCCGCTCGGACCTGTCAGATTCGTACTCTTTGTTGGTGTCGCTGATTTGGAGTTTGATCGCCATTGATATTCTCTGGAATTTCTTCGGTGGTTACAGGTTGCGGATATGCATTACGGTATGGGGGCGATTACTCGGTGCAGAGACGTGTTGGGTACCGAGTTTGAGTACTGTTCCGATCTCAACACGACTCTGTTTCTTCGGAGGATGATCGAAGCTGAGAGACCGGATTTGATCGCTTTTACGGGTAACTTGTCCGTGGATTTATTACTCGTCTTCCATTGAAACGACACTGTACGCGTGTTTCTCGCATTACTAGCTAGGGCTCGAATTCGCTAGTCTAGATATACAGATTCCTGATCCAAGTTGGTTTGTTGTTAAACGCAATTTCCCCCATATTTAAACTTTAGGGAGAATGAGACAGACAGACATGGGTGTCGTCACAAAGATGTAGACAATTGTGCTGCTCCAGTGCCGCAGGCTTGGAGAAGTTATCTTCTCTGGTTATGTCATTTATTAGTAGTTCTGTTGATTTCTGTTAGTAGGTAGTGAATTAATGTTTATGCAAAGCATTCCATGTGAGGTTGTAAATTGCAATCATCTTTGACTGGGTGGTTCTTTGGAAAGTGTGGGCTCATCTCGAATAAAGATGTGGTTCTGGGTATAGACCCGGATGAATGAATTGTAAATCTTGCGTAGAGACATGAAACGGATGGATAATAGATCTCGCTCAGAATTATCTTTTGGTCTGAGTTTTTGGCAAGATTTGATCTATTTTGATTAATTCCGTGATGTTTGGGGCACTTTGGAGGAAGGATATGCCAGGGAAAGATAGAAATCACATCTCTAAGGCCTGTGTGATTTTATTTTGATAACTAGGGGATAATATATTTGGAGCGAGCACAACTGATGCAGCTGAATCTCTTCTTCAAGCCATTGGTCCTGCCATTGATTTTGGAATTCCATGGGCTGCTGTTTTGGGAAATCATGACCAGGAATCTACTTTGACCCGTGAAGAATTGATGACCTTTCTGTCCCTTATGGATTATTCTGTTTCACAAATCAATCCACCGGCTGAAGACTCCTCTAACCCAGCCAGAGATGCTTTTCGATCCATCGATGGCTTTGGGAATTACCGCCTCAGAGTACACGGTGCACCTGGTTCTGTGCTTGCCAATAGCAGTGTCTTTGACCTCTTCTTTCTCGACAGTGGAGATAGAGAAACTTTCCAGGGAGTTCGAACATATGGGTGGATCAAGGACTCTCAACTGCTTTGGCTTCGGAATTCTTCTCAGGAAGATCGGGTAAGTAAAATTGAGCGTTCTGTCGGTTCTGTAATTTCTTATTCCATCTACAGCTGATTGGTGGACTGGGGATGCCCCATGAATTGTCAACATTGTGGTGCTACCAGAATTATCTAGATGCAGATTTCATTAACCTGTAAACAGGTTCATTGACTAACAGGGTCAGGCCAGCGGAAACTTGCTTGGATCCGGAGGGTTCTTTTCTGGTAAACCCCCGGCATTGGCCTTCTTCCACATCCCCATTCCAGAAGTACGTCAGCTGTGGTACAAGCCCTTTGTAGGTCAGTTTCAAGAGGGTGTAGCTTGCTCCACGGTAAACTCAGGAGTCTTGCAGACCCTAGTTTCCATGGGAAATGTGAAAGCCACATTCATCGGACACGACCACACCAATGATTTCTGTGGAAATCTAAATGGCGTATGGTTTTGTTACGGTGGAGGGTTCGGATATCACGGGTACGGGAGAGCTGGTTGGCATAGAAGAGCAAGGGTAATACAGGCCGAGCTTGGGAGAGGCAGAGACACATGGGAAGGAGTTAAGCGGGTAAAGACGTGGAAGCGTCTTGACGATAGGGGGTTGAGCAAGATTGACGAACAGGTCCTGTGGGAAACATCGAATACAATGTGAAACCACATGCAAGGCGCACAATAGGTATTTATACATCATATCTCACTTTCACATTTGACCTCTGCTTTGAATTTGGGAATTTTATGTGAAAGATGTCTGGTGCTCGTGGGTTATACACATCATGACACACGCGTTGCACATGATACAAACGTTGTTTTTGGGGAAATTGGGATGATTCCGTTTAGGGTCATGAATCACCGAATCTGTTGACCGTAAGAAAAACGTTTTCGCATGCATGCTTTATTGTGTCGAAGCAAACAGTGGCCCGTATATTTGCTTTTGTTGGGTCGGCTTGTCTCTTAAGACAATATTCGGTGCGGTAGGTGGGGTCTTAATCTTAATGGGTCTAGAAGTTGAACCCTCTGTTGCAATATCGGCTAGATTCGGTCTGTTAGTGTTAATTTAACTTTGTTTTTATATTAACTTTTAAAGTTGATAATTGGGGTTTGTCGGATTTGGTGCTGAGTTTATTTTGCTTTTCGAATATTTGTTGGATACAAACTGGGATGGATATTTTGACCGAATCAGTATAGGGACAAAACAATGGTGGATCATCATCTTCAACCAACATATAGATTTTTGTAGACATTAATTTTTAGTTTTTTTTTTCAATACAGAAAGTGATTGGATCAGGTGTTAAATCCTGTTCCATGGCTGAATCCGGAACCCTAAAACAAGGGCTCACATCAGGATTTTTGTGCAAAAGTTGAATCCAAATCCGTGTGAGTATGTGGAGAAGACCTTGGCATGCTATGCTGCTGGACCACCCGGCATCCGTATCCTTTTTTTTTTTCTTTCAAAGTATCTTATTTGAAGGATAACAATTACTTGTTGCCTTTGCATTTTTTTTCCTCTGTATTGTTAATATTTGTATAGACCTTCGCACTTGTCTATATTTAGAAATATGATAAAATGAGGCAGCTTGTGGAATTCACATAGATATCTCAGATATGAATGACTTGTTATATAACACAATAGGTTTTTGAATACTCTCTGGAAGTTTCTAATACACTCTACATTTGTGGGTTTGTGGTTAAAAAAAACACACAAGATGTGATTTGTCCCCTTTTTGTTTTAGTGATTTGGACACATTGATTCATCATTGAGTTAGAACTGACAGGTTTCCTTACAGAGCAAAAAAAAAAAGGGGGCATGAGAGGGATATTGGTAGGCGAATAATTTCCATTGGTGCTGGAGTGAACCCCAATTAAAAACGTGCTCCTAAAATCTTCAACGCCGGTTGTTCTTTGTCCCCTCAGCCACGTCATATCACATTGTCACTCTCTCTCTCTCTATATATATATATGTATGCATACGTCCAGTCCAGGTGTAGAGAGAGAGAGAGCGGCCACCGTTCTTAAATTCTTGCTGGAAAAGGAGAAAGGAAGCATCATCAGTTGAATCCGTCTGGAAAATGGAGAATATCGACGAAGAATACAAGAACTACTGGGAAACCACCACCTTCTTCCAAAACGAAGAGCTCGAGTACGACAGGTTCTTCTTCTTGTCTGTCTCTGTCTCTCTCTTTTTTCTCTGGTTTCCTCAGATGAAGCAGAGAGAGAGAGAGGTTGTTGATGTTGTTTGGGGTTTGTAGCTGGCCGTTGGATGAGGCGGTTTCTGGATCGTACGATTCGAGTTCGCCGGACGGAGCAGCCTCTTCGCCGGCTTCCAAGAATATTCTGTCGGAGAGGAACAGGAGACAGAAGCTCAATCAGAGGCTCTTCGCTCTCCGATCAGTTGTTCCCAATATCACCAAGGTTTTCTTCCCAATCCCCAATTCTCTCTCTCTCTCTTTACATTGAGAAAAAAAGAGTTTCCTCTTTCTCCGGAGAGAGTACAGATCAAAGCAGAAATCCCGGATTTCAGAAGCTCAATCAGATGTTTGTATTTTCTTTCTTCCTCCCTCTGTCTCCTTCTCGCTTTTAGTCCCTCCCTCTCTCCCATATGAAATCTGTCTTATTCGGTTTCAATTTGATGCTTTCAAGTTATAACTTATGGGTCTTTGCTCGTTGGCGAATTCGTTTCAGCTGTTGAAGAAATTTGTTTACCCTGGACGATTTATGTGGATTCTCATCAACGTTTTGGCTCTGTGCAAATGTGTTTTGGGTAGATGGACAAAGCATCGATAATCAAAGACGCTATTGATTACATACAAGAGCTACAGAAAGAAGAAAAGAGACTCGAAGTCGAGATCAGGGAACTCGAATCCATAAGATCCAAGAGCTTGAACAGTGAATTGCTGGTTCCAGTCACAGCCAAGAAGATCAAGCAGCAGCAGCAGCTGCAGGTTGAGTGTGGTTCCACTCGTTCAAGAAGCTCCTCCTCTCCCATTGAAGTTCTTGAAGTAAGTCCCGTTTTCCCACATTCTTTCTTGATGTTTTTCACTTTTTGTATAGCGCCAAAAAAAAAAAAAGTTCTGTGATGGATAGCGACTGAGATAGGTAGTGGGAATGCCGTTGAATTCTTGATTTGAGTTTTGGGTAATGAATGGCGAAGTTGAAGGTGACGTTCATGGGGGAAAGAACAGTGGTGGTGAGCACAACATGCAACAAGAGGACAGACACAATGGCGAAACTGTGCGAGGTTTTTCAGACATTGAACCTCAACATCCTTACTGTCAACATCACTTCTTTTTCTGGCATGCTTTTCCACACCGCCTTTGTCCAGGTCAGTCCCCCCCCCCCTCCTCTCTCCCCTTATAACTTTATTACATTGAAAAGTTTTAACTCTATTTTTTTTATTTTAAATTTACGGGTAATTCCCTCCTCGTTTGGATAGTTTATATGGTCGTTGTGTTTCACTGAATATGGTTGAAGATGTCTTTTGGTGTTTAGTGGGATTTACGGTTGGCTTTAATGTTTCCTTTTTTTATTCTTTCCGTCAATTACTTTATGGGCTTTTTTGGGGAGAACTAGAAATATTGAGTCGTTGAATATTGTTAGAAGGTGGTATATGTGGTTTGGGATTGGTCGTGTCCAAATCTATTTAATAACAATTGTCTTGGTTCATGACATTAGACACGATGTCACCCGAACGAAATAGTATTATATACACGCATACTTATACATGGCTCAAGTTTCTTGATCTGCTAGTAAATTAGATTACATGGCCCTTTCTTCCTGATTTCAAGCAAGATTTTCTAGTTTTATTAATCTAATGAATTGAAAGGCATATAATCCTTTAGTCTATGGTTATGTTTGGTGTAGTTGTACTTTAGGCTCTTCTCTCTTCACTGAATATAATATTCTAAAATCTCGGAGATATTAGATAGGAATTTGAAGTCATCTCCAAACATTGATTGGTTTTTGGTCCATCTAATTTTTTTTTAAATAATATATTATCAAGGTGGAAAGAATCTGTTTGCGTAACATTTGCTCAACCGCTCGAAACAAATTAAAAAATAAATAGGAAAGAGTAATAAATATAAAGATGATTCTGATAATAATATCTTATTTTAAATCTCTGGAGATGGGACAGAGTCTTCGAGATAAGATTGTGATCTCTGCAATTGTTGTAAGAAGATTAGCTGACGAAGTCATGTGGACCCTCGACTTTGGGACCCTCATTAACATCTCCCCTTTGGCTATGAATTAATTCATTTTTTTTCTTTTCGTAAAAATAATGACATATATATATATATATATATGTGTGTATGTGTCTGGCATAATCTATCCAAAGAAGAAAAAAAATCTCTCTCTTACACAGACACACATCTATGACTTTTTTTATAAAAAAATATCTCATTTCATTATTTTTACCAAAAAAAAAGATTTGAATTAATTCAATATATATAAAATATAATATAGGGTATTTATTGATGATGAGTGATATCTGTTGTAACACATTTAAAATCGCGGATATTGATTTATATTTATATTTGTATTTGTGTGTGTGTAAATAAATAAATAATGCAGGCAGACGAAGAAGAGAAGGAGGTGCTAAGGGTGAAAATAGACAGTGCAATCGCAGCTTTTAATGATCCCCTGAGGCTCATCCAATCTATGTAATTCTTTTAAATCAACTTTCCCTTTTTCATCTTTTTTTTTTCGTATAATAATATTGAAGTGCCCTAAAAACACATGACAAAATCAATCTCTGTTTGGGTAGTTTTCTTATATCATCCTTTGGTTTTCACTTAAACTTCAAATTTATTTCTCTTAAATCCATTGGTTACGTAATATACAAAAAAAAAATATTAGTGTAAGAGTCGCAAAGGGACAAGATATTAGTTTTATAGCAAAAGTCTTATTTACTGTGCGTATGGTAATAAATATAATAATATTATAATTCTCCCAAAATTATTAGTAAAGAAAAAGAAATTCAAGACAAGTAAAATTAACCAGGAAAAAAAAAAAAGGGCAACCGTCTTTGAGCCTGGGAAGTTTGACCTCACACGCTTCAGTCTAAGGAAGGATGCCATAATATTAAAATCAGCGCATTTCGCTGGGTTATAGTATGGCAGATTCTGTGACACGCGCTCTACGCGCACATACTGCGCGTGTGATTTTGAGCGATTTACACGTTAGCGGGTCAAGGCCCTTTTTCGTTGGGCTCCTTTTTTGGGCTTGTATGGGCTATACATTTGCAGGTCCAATTTTCTGCTTGTGTCCAAATTCATTATTCCCTCCCTCTTATATGCAATTCGCCCATAATGTTTTATTTATTTATTTTAAATAGAACCGTATCGATTTGAAATTAGTTTCCGTGGATTATTTCAATTTTTGTCTTCCGTTACAGTTACAGTTCGTCCTTGAAAAAAAATATCTGATATTATTTCATTGTTTTAATATATAAAGTCTCAATTTATGAGTCATATATTTGGCTTTTCAATCTTAAAAAATGTCTGCAACAATGTATAAAAATCGTATAGTCAAATCTATAATATAACTAATAACAAAATACAAAACTTAGTGCCTTTCTGGGTTTAAACGATATTCCGCTGTTGGAAATATATATAATAGTATTATAAATCTCCCAAAATCATGCCTAAAAAGACGATTGAGGGAAGGCATTTTGCACTCACGCGCTTAACTGTGGCTCAGGATGCCATAATGTTAAAATTGGCGCATTTTGCCTAGGTTATAAGCATAGCAGATTTTGTGACACGCGCTCTACGCGCCCTCATTGCGCTTATGATTTCCTTGAGCGATTCATTGGCGGGTCAAAGGCCCTTCTGTCTTTGGGTTTGGGGTTTCGGCTTATCTTTTATTTTTTGAGATTTATATTTACTGGTCTACTGTGCTTTTCATTTATTTTATATTTAAAGAAAATTACAATGTTTTCTTTTTTTGGTATAGAAAAAACTGCGATATTCAAACACCGTGATAGAAAAGTATCAAAGTATTTTCTATGTTACTTTGTTAACACTAGAGAACTTGATAAGGGCAACATATTGGTTTTATCTGTCCTACTTGTTGAATGTGGTTTTCTATAAAAAAAATATTTTCTTCTATATCGTGTTAAGAGTTGAAATTTTATTATTATTATTTTGACAGTGTTTGGTAAAATATAATAATATTATGAATCTCCCAAAACTGAAAAAAAAAAGACGGTTCTTTGAAAGGGAATGAATTTTGTCCTCACGCGCTTAACTGTACTGGGGACTCCATAATATTAAAATTGGCTCACTTTCTCTGGGTTATAGTATGGCAGATTTTGCGACACGCGCTCTACGCGCCATCAATGCGCGTATGAGTTTCAGAGCGATTTTACAATTAGCGGGTCAAGGGCCCTTTTGGTTTGGGCTTTTTTTTTGTTTTGGGCTTACATTTAGGGGCCCATGTCTCCTCATTAATTTTTTTTTTGCTTGGGGTCCAAATTCATGATTGTATCCTAGAAGTAGCGATTTTTTCTTCCGTTACAATAACAATTCGTTCCAGAAAAAATAATTATCTATTATCACGTTGTACGCATTTATGAGGAAATATGAGGAAAAACGCAAACGCTACAACATTTGGCATTGTAGCGTTTTCTGATGTGTGCTGCAGGCAGCGATGTTAGCGTCTGCGTTGCAATTAATATTATATGCAGAAGGAAAATTCCAAAAATAAGTTACATCAACAAGGCGTGGATATATTCACAAGGAGACAACGTAGTAAATTGTACACAAGAGAGACAGAACTCTTCTGTTTTTTGCTATATTGTATGTATCCTTTTGAGATGGAGAAGGGCAAATGCTCAGCTTCTGAGATATGGAAAAGCTTGGAAAGGGAACCGACCAGCCACCTGACTGATTTAAGTACCAAACACCAAACAAGAACAAAAGAATGATGTTTCAGATATATATACATAAACATATTGAAAAAGTAAAACTCACGCGATATTGCTTTAAAAAACTTTCCAACTGATTCTATTCATTTGTAAAGAACATGAATTACAACTCTTTTTCGTTCGAACCTAATCTATCCCAAAAACATAACTACCCCTGAGTTTGTTCCCCTTACGACATGAATTATATCAGACCATACACTATGTGTGTCACACACACCTCGTGTAATGCTAGACTCGTCTAGGCCCTTTGAGTGGTTCACCTGTTATTTGAAAACTCCCCCTCAGATACACTTCACTCTCTCTCAAGTACCACTCACTCGTGTTTCCCACACCTATGATTATCCAGCTCGTTTGCTCTTTTCTCTCTTTTTTTGTTCTGCTGGGATACCTTTTCGTAGTTCCCACGTCTTGTATTTATGTGTAACTCCTCCTCTTGTTTCCAATATTTTGCCCAATATCTTATTTTCCCTTTTCTTGAACTTTATTCCTTTTGCTTGATCTTTCCATTTTTCTTCAATGACATGTTTCCTTTTCTCTTGCAAGTCATTCTCTTACTGGTTGTTCCTTCCATTTTTTCGCATTGACATGTTTCCTTTTTGCTTGAGATCTTCTAGATATTGAATCTTCTCTTGATGCTCTTTCCAACATTAACAATTCTCCCTTTTTGGCTTTATGCTTATACACATTCCATAGCATTCATCCACATGAAACACAATCATCCACTTGGCTTATCAGTGTTATCCTCAACATTTTCGACCATTCATCCTTCCTTAGCATCTTCAACCATACACCATTTTTGAGTCATTTCTCCCCCTGTGTATATGACCATGTACCTTTCGAGCCATTTCTTCCCCTTTGTCTAAGCATAAATTCAAAATCATACATGAGCTTTCGATTGCTCAATTCCGGGTCTGTGTCTTAGAATCCTTGAGAGAGTTTCTGAAAATCCTGTTGTCAATCCATGTGTAGCAATTGTTTGATATCCTTTGCTCAGTTAAAACACACTTGTTATCCGCATTGATCACAAAACATGCATTCTTTGTAAACTTCACTCTCATGTCATTATCACATATTGACTTATACTGATCATGTTAGTCTTCAAACCTTGAACTACCTTGACATCTGTTAGCTTGGGTACTCCAACACATTTAAAAGTTCTTTTACCAATGATCTTTTCTTGTTTTCCATCTTCGAATGTGACACTGTCGCTTGTCAAAGCTACTTCAAAATCTGTCACAGCTTCTGACATTCTCATGTGCCTTGAACATCCGTTATCCAAATACCAGACATCGTTTCTACTCGTTCGCTCAGGCGCACATGCAACATTGCATGACAAATCGGATTTACGAATCCACCTAGGATTCCTCGAAGGATGAGACATAAGAGTGATTCAAGTTTGAATGAACGTACCAATTAGAGTTCCTTTTCTGTCGTAGATGATAACAATTCCTTCGAATATGTCCTCTCTTCGCACAGTAATAGCAGCTTCTACGCTCTTTTTGCTTCTGAGAGGTTCGCAGATCCATTTTAACTCTTGGGGTATTTCTGACAACGCCAAAAGTACTTCGTACCAAGTCAGGTACTTCTCGTTCAAGATTTTCTCTAGACACAAATGTTGGATGATATTACTCCTTTCCCGCATATCCAAACCCTGATTGATCTCGTGCACTCCTTCTCTGTCTAAGTAGATGATCCAACTTACCAGTTTCACTTTCAAGAAGATGAAGATTTTTCTTGGTCTCTTCAATCTGACATCTCATGAGCGACGTTTCTTCTTCTTTTTGGAATAATTGATGCTGAGTAGATGTCAGTTGTATCTAAGTATTTCTAAGTTCCTTCTCGAGCCGCTTCTTCTCATCCAACGAATATCTGTCCATTCGAACCAGTTTCGTCATTTCTTTGTATAAGTCATCCTTAGTTATTTCTTCATCATCACTTGAATCATCTTCCAGTGTTTCTTCTCATTCTTCAGTGATTCCAAAGAATGCAACAGAGTTAGAAACTTCTTCATCGTTACTATCCAACTCGGTTTCCTCCTGCTCATGGGTGATAAGTGATTTTTTGTACTCCATCTCGGTATACCCATAATTAGTTGAGTCAAATATTGCATGCTTCCTTAGTGCTTGCATCTCCTTGTACACCGATATGAGAGGAAAAATTTCATACGATCAGTAACCAGACTCTGATACCAATTGAAAAAGTAAAACTCACACGATATTGCTTTCAAAAACTTCCCAATTGATTCTATTCGTTTGTAAAGAACATGAATTACAACTCTTTTTCGTTCGAGCCTAATCATCCCAAGAACACAACTCCCCCTGAGTTTGTTCCCTCTTATAACATGAATTCTATCAGCCCATACACTATGTGTATCACGCACACCCCGTGTAACCCTAGACTCGTCTAGGCCCTCTGAGCAGTTCGCCTTTTATTTGAAGACTCCTCCTCAGATGCACTTCACTCTCTCTCAAGTATCACTCACCTGTGTTTCCCACACCTATGATTCTTCAGCTCGTTTGCTCTTTTATCTCTTTTTCTGTTCTTCTGGGATACCTTTCCGTAGCTCCCACGTCTTGTATTTATGTGTAACTCCTCCTCTTGTTTCCAATATTTTGCCCAATATTTTCTTTTCCTTTTTCTTGAACTTTATTCCTTTTGCTTGATCTTTCCATTTTTTTTCAATGACATGTTTCCTTTTCTCTTACAAGTCATTCCCTTACTGGTTGTTCCTTCCATTTCTTCACATTGATATGTTTCCTTTTTGGTTGAGATCTTCTAGATATTGAATCTTCTCTTAATGCTCTTTCCAACATTATCACATATATATGTGTGTAAATATATATAAGGGTTTACAGTGAAGATTCTTTACCCGAATAATCTGATGCCGATTGAGATGAGCCACTGTTTCCAGCCAAGTCTAACTGTGGAGATGAAAATACCCAGGAACTCTGTCACTGTTACATGAAGTATAACAGTCAAAGCAACCGTCACGAGGAACAAATGGTTCTTGAATATTCCTGTGAATATATTTCACTGGTCCAGATTACGGCATTCAAACTCGTTGAACACCTGCAATTTAGGATTCAGACAGACATTAAGAGTAAAACTCCTTTTCTCTCACAAAAAAAAAAACACAGTAAAAAAGGAATATATAATAGGATGAAGACACAGAAAAGTGAGAGATTACTTGGCAGAAGACGAAAGAATTGAATACGAGTGTATTTATGATTTTATCGGCATGAATCATATGGTTGTTCTTCAACTGCAGTATACTCTTCCCATGAAAGTTTAAGACGAGCAATGCAACCACTTGGTAAGTAACCTGAAGTTTTGCATTTGAGTAGTTGTGAAGAAAGGGAGGACTAAGCTAACAAGAACAAGAATAATGGAAGCTTACAGGACATACCTGAACTACAAACTTAGATAGCATCAGTCTAATGTTTTCTGAAATGGCATATACCAAACATCATCGTACTGTACTACGTATAAAACAAAGTGGGGGATTCTAACTTGAAAACAAGCCCATACCGTTTACTAACAGGAGGCATCTTCATTAGTTGTTCGGTTGGTGGTTCTGAAGCCAATGCAAGTGCTCCTAAAGTGTCAATGAGAAGATTAACCCATAGGATCTGCACACAGAGAAAACAACTTAGATCAGAATGAAAAGTACAACCCGCATGCAAATTGGAGAAAAAGATGTGAAGAAGGAAGTAAGACCTGCACAACATTAAGTGGAAAGTCACCAGAATGTAATGCCACAACGACGCATATGATCAAAGCAGATGCGCTGACCGTAAGCCTGAACTGGCCAAATTTCTGAATATTGGTGTCTAATGATCGTCCCCATTGGATAACCTACAAATCAGCCAGTCAATTAAAAATCTTAGAATTTTCTACAATTTATTGAGCCAAATGACCTTATCCAGTTGCAACTTCAATGCCAGTTTAATTTAAAGAGACTCCATTACTAAGGAAACCGCTTTGTCAGAACGAAGTCAATCCTTCTCATTGTATTTTGTTTTCAAAATATGCCAACTGCTAATGCATAATTATGTCCAACCTTGACAATAGAAGCAAAACTGTCATCCAAGATAATGATATCTGAGCTCTCTTTCGCAACTGCAGTCCCTCCAATGCCCATTGCGAGACCGATATCTGCCTACATTCCATATGATATTTAGTATTTGAAAGTTCATCTTTATGAAGCAATGATGGAGCATCATGGATCTCCTTTCCAGTCACTGCAACCACATGGCCCTTCGTCCTCAGCGCTTTCAGGAGCAGAAGGTTGTCCTCTGGAGTAGATTGTCCCATAACCTACAAATAAAAAATCGCGTCACTTTTCCGCTTATCTCAACAATTCTAATGCCGAATAACCACTATTATTGTGTGAAATTCAACGGTAGTGCCAACTGAAAACGTTATGAGTCTGAAATTGGCATGGTAAAGTTGGAAAAGTTTACAAATGATATGTAATAAACGTAAGTTCGAATGAGACACTGAACTTTTCTATTATTTTTCCGTCATAGCTCTCTACTCACTGCTTACGCGCACATGAAATCACAAGTAAAAGCATTCAGAAGAGAAGTAAGAATAATACCAAGATGCTTTCAGCCATCTGCTCTTGGTCAGGAATCGACAAGGCACGAAATTCATTTCCTTTGATGATATTACGTTCAGATATATTATCATCTGATATCAATATCCCACACTCCAAAGCCATTGCTTTTGCTGTCAACACATCGTCACCGGTCACCATGCGTATCTCGATGTTGAACAAAAGTTACACTGTCCAAATTTCTAACATGAACTTTGTCACTTGAGCGCAAAAAAAAACGAAAAAAAAAGAGAGGACAAACACCAAACCTTAATATTGGCACTACGGCACAGTTGAACAGCATCACGTACCCCTGGCTGACAAGAATCCTGCTTACACTCATAAAACTTAGTGTTGTACCCCTTCAAAGTGAATTGAGTTCCACTACTTTAATACAACATACTACTAGATAGTGCGAGGAACCGATGAAGAATTTGTGTCTACATGCAAAACATTCTACGAGGACATTTTGCATGTGCGATTTCTGCCCCCAGATTATCATTGTGATGAATCTCTTGAATCAGAAACCACGCATTACACAAACACAACAAAATCAAAAGTGAAAAACAAAGCATATCGACTATGGTTAGAGCGATACATTATATACTCCAAACAAGGAAAATCACATATGTAAGGTGTAAAAGCCAAGCCGTGGGTGAAAAGCTTACCTTTATGCCTATGATAGCCAACAAAATGAGATCACATTCATTGTTCAGAAAATCTCCAGCTGCATAGGTTTGATAGGCGAGTGCAGCACAACGCAACCCTCTTGTACACATTTCCTTGATAATTGTTTCAAAGTATAACTCCTGAAAAAGGATGAAAGGCACTTGACAAGAAGAAAAGGAAGGGTTCAATTGAAAGTTTGAGAATGATCAATTGTTGTAAGAGAGAGCAATCTATCATTACTGAGATCTGCAACATACCTTTTCTTTGCTAATAGCGATGACATCATTGTCCATGCCCATATACCGTGTGCATGAAGTTAAAATAGTCTCCGCAGCCCCTTTCCAATGAACACGGACTTGGAAATCATTCTAAAGTTATATCAAGAAAAAAGCCAATCTCAGAAAACAGGTTAAAACAACAGCTCGTATTGGACATGAAACCATCAGACGAGGTTACATAAACTGACTTGGATTGGTATGTCAGAAACTTTTAGAATTTGATCAGAAATTCTACTTGACACATCAAGGTGGCAAGATGAATAGCAGCCAGAACAACACACTTAAAGTTACAATACCAGTTTCAGCGCTACACCTCTCCTTTTCTTATTTGGGTTGAAAGGTGAAACATGAAGTACTGATGATCTTGACCTCACATCATCAAACCTCATTCCAAGCTGCAGAACATGGTTAACAAACAAATGTTAGTTGTCCTCTTAAACACTTGATTATTCATGTTGATAACTATTACAATTAATAATCACAAGAAGAAAGAAGCACAACCTTGACCCCCCAATCAAGAATGGCCCGCTCGGTTGCTGATCCCGAAACCACCGGTATAGAATCTCCCTGTAATTACCATATATGATTGTAAAACAAGAATCGAGACAAAATTCTATCCAGTTTTACAATATGACCTTGGAGACCGTATATCAGAAAGAAAGACTGCCATTTGTGTTATGAGCAATTCCTTCAACGATTAATGATGCCAGAAGAGGGGACAACTGAGAAATGCAATCTGAATGTTGCATTTTTATTCCTCCGGTACAAACATCGTCCACCGTCATCTGCTTAGCATAAAATGAATGTCTAAAGTAAGGGACACAAAGAGAATGTACAGAACAAAGACCAGGAAGATTACGAGCAAGCAGAAGAGGATTGATTGTGTAGGTTGTAATGCATAAACTCATAAGACTGTTCTGTTTTGAGGAAATAAAGCCATAAAGTGATGATAAAGCAACCGAATATACTGAAAAAATTAAAGAAGAGAAGGCAACCTGCCTGATTCAAGGTTAAAATCCCAGTTTTCTGACATAAAATAGTTGTTACGGACCCCATTGTTTCACCTGAAAGGCAATGAAAAACCTTAGCAAATATTTGTTCCAACAATATGGAAGAAGTAGCCGTCTGAAAGTAGCATACCAAAGCTTTCTCCGGCACTATTTTTCTCGTTGTATATGCAAGGCTGCAGCAACACATATATAATAAGATAAGAAAAAGATCAGTTCATACTGATAAAGAAGGAAGAAAACCTTCCAATTGAAGTATAATGATACACCAGCACATTACGTACCAGCATCCGTATATACAATTATACTTCTAACACTGATGTTTGACTGACTTGAACAAATAAGTCAAAGAGAAGAGACTTACTTCAAGGTAACAGCTAAAGGAAGTCCATCGGGAACTGCTACTACAACAATGGTAACCTATACAGCTTTCGCATATCAGCCACTTGATCAATTAAAACGGTGCATTATAACTACTGCAAATGCTCCTTACCCCTAGAATGATGGTTCTGATTACGTTATCTATGGCTTTATCTGCTGTTGTCTTTCCAGAAACAAACATTGTGGTGCCATCTGTATTTTTGGTATGACCTGAGAAATACCTTTAAAAAGGACACCGTGAAAATAAGATTTCATCTCCACTCGAAGACATGGAAGATGATATTGGAGATATAAGGTTTGACTGCAGAACATAAAGAGCAATATCTCCATGGAGTAGACCAAGAAAAAAATTTACAGCCACGATTGGATAAGAAAGACAACGAAAGCAAGCGAAAGACTGATGAAACTGATCCCGTTGGCAATCCCGTTGAGGTGTATCTATTAGAAGCCAATAACAAGTGAAGGATTGAAACAAAGCAGCAAATGGTGTAGGAACAATCTTCAATAAAAACATACCTGCAATGGTGTCTCTTTATCGATAACTAATGGAATATTAGCCATTAGCAATCCCCATTCAGTGTTCATTCCGACACCAGTAACCTTGAAATATTGGAGCAACAAAAAGCACCATGTCAGCAACAAGCTCCTTCTATTGGACAAAAAGTAAACTAAGAAGCTGCCAGGTGAATCATTTGATAAAAAACTCTTTTGGTCATATCATGGCTGTCTCGAATTCTGATGCTACTTATTCCTTCAAAAGTTATCGTAGTTTTATATCATCATTTTCTAAAAGTAACTGTCAACTGAGAGGTGAGTCCTGGCTAAAAGGCTATGGACAAGGATACATGAACATAGTCGAGTCTAGATTTTTACCAGCATTGTGCCTATGCCATCTTCCACTTTAGAGCCAGATAGTAAAAATGGATTCATATTGGGATCCTTCTGAACCTGCGAATGGAGAAGAGAGATTAGTAATTCAAGAACGACAACAAAATTGTTGCTTAGCACTTGAATTAGTGTGCAACATACTGTTCTGGGCTGTCCTGTAATCTCAGACTCATCGACCTGAAGTGAATGCCCAGAAACTAGGACACCATCTGCAGGTACCTGAAGCGTATATGGCATCACGTGTCAGCAATGAGGACATGAATTTCAACAAAGGACCGCACACTGATTTACAGAAAGGTTTTGACACTTACCTGATCTCCAATTCTGAGGGGTATAATATCACCTACAACAATATCATAGATTGAAACCTTGATTCTTCTGCCACCACTAGTAACCTGCATCCAAGAATATACGGAGTAAATTCTGGGGAACAACATACTCATATCACGAAGAACACCCTGCCGCTGCAAGAACGAACCTCTAAGCATATTTTTTGCTTCTCCTGGTTCAAGTTTTCAAATTGAAGAAATTGCTGGTAATCACTGATAGCTGCAAAAGTGAAACCCAAGGAAATCCTTCTTAACTAAATAAAACTATATATGAATATCCCCTTCGTAATATACTATACTTATTCTGAATATTCTCTAAAGGAGCTATAACCTAAGAAGCACAAAAAATAACAAGTGGCCAAGAGACAGGAAGCCTGAAGACAGTCCGATACCCGTCACAATGATGACAAAGATAACTGCAAAAGCAAGGCCAGCTTCATCATACCATCCATACTTGATAGTCTGCCATGCATGTCAAAACACCAATAATGAGCTGAAGCACAATAAACATTCAAGAGAGAGAGGAGAGTCTCAAAAACTCAATCATGAGGATCCACAACTATGAAGCTGAGAGAATTGATTAGAATTCCCTCAGGGAACAAAGAACTATACAGCTTAGGAAAGTCACATTGGCTCAATAGTAACCTAATTGTTCTTACTGTACTCTCATACGTCGGCATCATTTTTGTCAACCCGCATAACAGGCACAAAGAAAGGGCTTATGCGATATTGTAAGTATTAGGAAGGAAGAAATCAATAGATCATACAGTTATACCCAACTATGGAACTTAGATCATATTTGCTGTGTAATGCTTAAGAAACATATTTAAAGATGCATATCTTGAATCATCTTAAGAAAACACCCACTGAATACAACATACATCATGCATAATGCAAATATCACTGTTCTAATCAGGCAAGGAGATCATAAACTCCGCGAGCTCCTCTTAGCAACCAATTGCATAATTATGGGGCTAAAGATCTGCTAAATGCATTATAGATTGCATTCAAGGACAAAGCACCAAAACTAAGCAAAGACCCACCTTTGTTTTTATTCCAAGCAGCAAAGAAGCTATTGCAGCCACCATCAACAATACCAGTGTAATATCTTGGCTTGCTTCCCAGAGAAATGTCTATCAGACCAACAGAAAGTTTGTGTATAAAAAGCTTTGTGGCAGATTATTAAAGTGAAATTCAAGAATAAAAAATCAGAAAAACTTTTAGAAGATGAAATCATGAAGGCAAAAATGATCATTACCCAGAAACTCCTCTCTCTCACACAGGGAAAGGCGTTTGATCCAAAAGCTTTCTTCCGTCTCAGAATGTCACCACCATCACCACTTATGCCCTTCTGTAGGTCGGTTTTCAACAGAATTGATAATCCTTCAACCTATACACCCCAAAATGGACCAAATATAAGGAAACAAGAACATACAGAAACGACTAATTTAGAATAAAAATTATCAACACCAAATGCTTGCCCCATGATATTGCTTTAAAGCACCAATGTTAAAATCCCTGGCTATTGGCACAAGTTCCTCCAATCTGATACCAAAATCAGCTGCAGAAGAGGTCACACTTGGAACTGCTGAAATAAACCAGAGAAGTGGTCAAAACGCTATGGACGCCTACCAAAATCGCATCAATCCAAAACTGAACTAAGAAGAGAAAGTACCATCCACAGGTTCTTCTATTCCTTGTTGAAGATTTGCAACCTACCAAAAGGGAACGTTCTCGAAATTTCAGCCCTTTGCCGTTCCTTTTCAAGGTCCAATAGGTATCGAAATCGTCGGGACGCATTAATGGCGAGGACCGCACGCTAAAGAGAGAAAGAAGAAGGGGAAGCCCTTTGTGTAAATCCAAGAAAGAATCATGGACGGGTTACAACGACCATTGAAACTCGAACAGAGCTTTGAGAAGGACACAGACGCCGACACCAAGACCAAAAAGAAAGCCAGTTCGAAACTAACCACATCGTGTAAGAAAATAAACATCAACCACGAAGATACTATGAGGAATCCCGATTCACATTCCATAGAAAAAGAAAGGAAAAGATACAGATTGGGCAGAAAAAGGGGAAAAAACAGAGACTCACTCTCCAGTGGCGGAGGTGCTTAACAGAAGCGTTCTTGGTTCTTGTAGTATCCGAGGAGGCCAGATTGCAGTCTCCGCCGGCGGCGGAAGTTCCGGCCTCCAAATCTTGGGGGATTCGGCGATGTGAGAACATCAGAGAAGTCGAATTCGCAAATAATGTTAGAGAGAGAGGGGAGAGAGAGAGAGATGGGGGAAAATGTTTGAAGTTAGAGCGCATGTTTTATAAGGGGAGGAGGAGGGACAACGTCATTTTTCTCCATTCGAAACTTGCATCTCCACCTTAACTGCGACACGTGTTAGATTTTCATTGGTAATGATCATATGATTTCATTCTTTTTGTACGCGTTGTGTACCTTATATTAATAGGGGCCATAAGGTAAACAGAGAAGAAACTATAATAATATATGTATATGTATATATAAAAAGAATGAAGAAGGCTAAAAAGATGATTTGTGTGAGGTGGATTGTGAGATTGGACACTGTCTCGTCTCTCTCTCATCAATCTTATAATTATAGCCAATAATAATAATTTGTATTCTCAACACCTCGAATCTCACTTTTATGGAAAGGTTAGTATCATATCTAGTCTTTTTGTTCATGTTCATGGTCATGGGACGATACACAACAATTATACATGTGCGAGTTTATTATATCATATATAGTATTTTATGATTTTTATAGATAAAAATTGTTATAACTCGCAAAAAAAATGTACGTAGTATGTGTTGGGAAAAACTATCTATTAATCCAAATGAGGTGGTCTGATGGTTGGACAGCTGGACAGCGCAAAGTGCTCCCAAATCATCCCGATTCGAATTTCATTGGGCCAAATTTTACCCCAAAAAAACTATCTATGAAGTAAACGACAAAAATAAAAACATGTTACTAATCCCTACAAGAACAAAAAGCGTGTTAACTGCATTAGAATATGAAGATCTAGGATCAATGTCCCAAGCTAGTCACTTGTGGAAAGACAGATCAACAGTGCTAAAAGATTTCGTTTATTTTTAGTTTATTTAGAAACTATGGTTTCAAATGGGATATTCGAAATTGAAAAAAAAAAACTCAGCATGATATGAAACATTCCCTATTTAATAGAAGAGAGAGTGGAGGTTGCAGATAAAAAGAAAAAAACAAAAGGAGAGGGGAAAGATTCAAGTTGCAAACTCCAACTCCCTTCCACGCAGAGGGAAAAGGACAAAAAGTGGCAAAAATCCTTTCCACGTATAGTAGACAACCAAATTAAGATGCTTTTAACGGTCAAGCTACTAGATCACCTTATCCCTATATTTTAGTACAGATAAATAGATTCAAACCCGCGACCTCAGACCCCTCAGACCCTACAGTAAATAGTTTTATCGCTAGCCAAGTCGACCCTTCTAAGAGCTAAATCTAATTAACAATTTACAAAATGTTTTAAGTGAAATCAAATTTATGCCAACATGCATGATGCAATCAGTCTTTTGGAATTTACATGTAGAATAAGGAATAAAGTTTCAACAAAAAGATTCTCACGTACACAGTCAATTAATGAAGACAGAGAAAGAACATTGACAAAACAGAAGACTAAAAAGGAATTTCCACATGGATTATTTATCTTACCTTTTGGGAGTCGCTCGCTCTTCTCAGATTTATTTGGCACCGTTAATTATTACCAAGAGAAAGAAACAGCTTCCAAAATAAATGCATAATTAAATACCTGACAAGAAACCTCAAACTGGTCCTATTTGTCCAAATATGACGAGAGACGTAGTGTGAAACAAAATCGACCAAAAAGAGAGAGAGAGAGAGAGAGAGAAACCTAAATTACTTTACACATTCACCTACATTGCTCCTGTTTCTTGTTCCTTCCTTTCTGAGCCCAATCCCTCTGAAAGCGTGAGTAATCTGGTAACAATCTCAACTTCCAAAGACCAGAAAAAGCAAACAAGAAGTTAAAGCTTGAAACTAGTGTAGCCACTAACATCAGAAGCTCTATACTCCGAACCATAAGTTTGGGCAGAGGCCGATGGCGTGTACGATGTACCGCTCAGCTGAGAGTAAGTCGTCGGTCTGTAAGTGGTTTCCAAGCCCACATAGCTGCTTGGAAGCGGTTCCTTCCGGCTGCTCAGCTGAGGATATGCCGGCACATAGCCTGTGTCCATTCTACCATAACCACTAGAGACCGAAACTGAAACCGGCTCCTTGTGATTGCTGATGAATTCCTGTCAATAAGTAAAAAGCAAAAAGGAAAAACATGTCCGAGAGATTCAGATTGTTATATAGAGGAAAGCATTACAGCTGGATTCGAGATTCTGACGGAAGGAAACGATTATGTTCGGAGCAATATAACAAAGCATTGATGAAGCATTCTTACTTGAATTAGCTGTTGAGCAATTTGAACCTGTGAAGACGTTCCCTTGATTTCTACTGTGATTTCATCGGGATGTGGGCTCTCTTGTATGGTTATTGAAGCTCCACTTGTTCGACGGATGTAGGCGATGTTAGCTCCTTCCACCCCGATGATATCCTCCGCATAAGAGAATGGTATTTGCATTATTTGAGCTACCTAGTAAGAGAAACGCCATTAAAAGTGTTTGTGCCAATGCAAAGAAGACAGACACCTGCTGGTAGAACAACGATGGGTGGGAGCCCACCTGTGTAACAAAAGAAGCAGTAACACGACCAAGTCCCGGAGAACGTGTGGCTGAGAGAACAGGATCTTGACTGTAAATAGAAACTCCCGGGGCCTGAATCCGTGACTCCACCCGTGATTCACGCTCAAGGAACAGAGGTTCCCGCCGGGATAAGAGGGAAAACTCGGATTCAATAATACTTTGCGAACTAGATCTCAGAGATGACTTGTCAACTATGGCTTCTGCCCGACGACCTTGAGAGGCTCTGGCTAGATACTAAAGATTGAAAACAGATTAAGAAACTACAAAGGGAAGAAGCAAATTTCACCAAGCCATTAAAATTCAACTTACTTCCTTCTCAAAAACAGGGACGACAGTGTGGTCAACTAGAAATTTTCTTAGATGACCCACAACTGCTTCTAAGGCTTTTAGGACCTTAGATGCCTCTCCCTGCAACTCCACTATCCTTTCATCCTCCGAAGCATAAAATGGATTATCCTCTGGCAGCAAAACTTTCAGTTATTATTTCAGGACTCCCACAGAATAGGACGCAACATATCAGATAGATAACATTGGCAAAGACGGAGACGTTATTGATAAACAGACAGTGTTTGAGCTTTACCTAGAGTAATGTAAATATAAACCTTAAAGGGTTATACCTTCTGGTAAGACGCGGACAGATGCACCAGAGTTCTCTACTATGGATTTGATTAAGAAACCCTGTTTTCCAATTAAATTTATAGCCTGAGTTGATGCCACCAATAATCGCACTGAAGAGAAGGCTACTCCGGCGTTTTGCATATCATCGTCATTATCTGGTAAGCCTGAAACTCGCCTGAACACCCTAAGGGTTGCATCCATAGAAGGCGACAAAAAAGCCTCCGGTTCTTCCTTTCCAGATATAAGCACCTAACCATACAATTTGAGAAAGACCAATATCAGAGTGCACTTCCAAGCAATGTGCGATCCAAACCGTAGCGCTTATGCATAATCGTCGAAGCAAAAAAAGCCAATTAACAAACGGAAAAATGGAATACCACGAACTCAATATTCCATTCCCGCACCACTACTCAAGATCTAATCATACAAGCTGAATATCAAGAGAAAAACTAGCACAAACAAATCCCTCATCAATTCAATTTCTCACTACGAGAAGCTTCCAATCATCAAACGAAACTGCTAGTGAAATTGTAGAAAACTAGAGAGAGATTAAGCAAACACAAAAGCATGTAGTGAAAAACAAAACAATCAGAGAGAGAGAAACAGATACTGACGACGCGATCAGGAGTCGTAACGGGACCTTCGAGAACTTTGATGCGAGCACGAGTCTCCTCGCACATCTTCTTGATGAAGTCTCCTTTCCGGCCAATAATGGCGCCAACCTTAGTCACAGGCACGATCAGACGGAACACACAGTCTCCCGGCCAACCCGGCCACTTCGCCGCCTCGGACCCTTTCATTCCGGCGACAGTTCCGGTAGCTAAGTTCTCCTCTGGCTGACTCAATTCGGCGTCGACGCTAGGGTTTCCGTATAACTCGGCGGACGAACCGGTTTCCTCCGGCGGAAGGGTCTTGTTCTCCGGGAATCCGATGGTATCGTTCTCTAGGGTATCAGCGACGGAGGCCATTGGAACCGGCGCGCTATAGAGAGAGGAGAGAGAGAGAGAGAGAGAGAGAAAATGCCTAGTCGTTTTGATCGCATTCTGTTTTGTTTAAGAGCGTAAATACGACGTCGTAACAAATGAGCCATATATTGGGCTTTAACAATAGAAGCGCGAAGCCCATTATAGCAATGCAGTTTGTGATTTTATAATTTTATTTATGGGCCTTTATAAAACCCAATGCTAACTTTAATGATATTAGACGACGTCGTTCAACATAACAAATAAACGTCGGTTAGGTTTGACTCATGTTTGAATACTTGTCAAGAATATCATACCATCAAACAACATCTGAGCAATACACATTCAGACCAATCTCTATTCATCTTTGGATCAGTCCACGAAGCGGTAAATGATTGATCTCAAAGATTACTCTATTCAAACCTCTGATCTCTCATTAAAAGACGAATATGCTAAATCATGATCTATGTCAATTTATGAGATTGATATGTTAATACTTTATAAATTATATAATGATGACACTTTCATCTTCTATAAAAGTTAATGGGTTTTTGGTAACAAAAATTCGTTATTTTGGTATCGAAAATTATTTACTATAGTTGTGTTTTTTATATCCTTGTCTAGAGACGCCATTTGGATAGGTTGCTAAAAATCTATTAAACGAATAATGTTACATGTTTTTTAGATGAACTAATTACCTTATCTGAAAAATTAATCCGTAATTATTATGTATTGGGTATGCGACTTTAAATCCTAATCTATATATATCGCCAAACTGTATTCAAACTACAACAAGACGCGCGTATTACCCTAACGGTTGAATAATTCAAAAGAAGAAGATATGCAAAGCATGGAGAGAAAAAGTGAAAGAGTATCATGACGCAGTAGAAACCGCCATGCTGATACGAATTAAGAATTAGGGCAACATGTATGTATGTATGTATGTATGTATGTATGTATGTATGTATGTATGTATGTATGTATGTATGTATGTATGAAGACAGAATAAAAAGAAGAGGTCACATGTGTGTTAAAGAGTTTTCAAAGTAAAATCCGGTGAAACATAAAAGAACAAAAAGTGTCATTGAGGTTTATCCTGTTTTCTCAAGGACCTCTGTCTCTCCACCACGGCTTCTCCTTATCTCTCTCTCTCTCTCTCTCTCTCTCTCTCTCCAATTTTTCACTCTCATAGTTAAAATAAATAAATATAAATTGAAGGCTCACATGATAATTGTAAATTTTTAGGAGTAATTGATTGTATATAATTTTTAGGAGCAAAATGAATATTTATTTTTTTTATTCAAGTGAAGTGAAAAGATTGCGAAATCAAAGAGTTTTACAAACAAAGTCTTGTCATATAGCACACATATATACACTAAGTTTGGAGACGAGAGAGACATGTATTATAAATTTTATTACTCTTTAATGTCAATACACTACACCGACAGAAATGCCGAAATTATATGTATGCTGTCCCAATGTTATATATTTTACTCGATGTTATCACAACATAAAGTTATTATTTTCGGATTATTAAATTTTATTTATCTATTAATAATTTATACATCGTTCGCTCATTGGTCGAAGATATTTTTTGCCCCAATTATAAGTCGCGCATTAAATCGTCCTAAAATATTTCCAATTGGATACTTTGTTCCATGAAATATCAAGAGAAGGGTGAGAACTGGTAGTCTCCTCACAACATTAAATTAATTATCCAGGTTGGGTATGGAAAATATATAGTTGGAATATTTGAAAATTCAGATATTAAAAATTAGACACGTAAGTCAATATAAATAAGATAATTTTACATGAGATAATCTAATAATAATTCTGACTATACGTGTTTATATATAATTAGCTAATTTTGAGTTAAGTTATGTCACGGACACAGTGTTTTAATTCGAAAGAGACAACAAGTTTTCCAAATTGCAAATGAGATAAAAAAAAAAAGACCGCATATATATATATGGAAATGACAATAATGATGTAATCAGGAGTTATTGAACGTAATGAGCCCAACGTATGATTGCCATCTGCCACACAAATCCTGCATGTGACACCAAAAAATGTTACAATCATTCCTCTGTTTTCGACAATCCATTTAACCCCATATTCATCCTCACAGTTTTCTTTTTTTGTTTTTTTTATATTTATATTCATTTTTATATACATACATACACAAATTTCTTACCAAATATGTAATACCTTATTTTTTTGTTGGTACGTACATATATATGAGTAGCCCTAATGTATACATCGTTAATACATACATATGGGATTTTCTATCCTTACACGGTTTGTGTCCAAGGATAATATATAATTTATTATCCATATATGAAAACGTTATGGATATTACATTTTTTAAATATAATATATAGTTTGAGAGTAGATTCCAATGGTTTGGATATTGTCTCTAAGTCTGAGTACTATGTTAATTAAGTTTATTTACGTTAGTCGTTCCTTGGAACACGTGAAACCCAGTAAAAGAAAATGCCACGTCATCATTGGAAATCTAATTCAACCAATGAGAATGAGCCACGTTGGAGGATATTATCTGTCAAGGTTTTTGCAGGTGCGTATGGGTTTCTGGAATTAATCCAAAAAGGACATAAAATAATTTATAATTCTAAAAAAATCCATAAAATAATTAAGAGAGGGAATAACACGTAGAGGCCACGCGCCCTATCTCGTCCGTTCGAAGTATGCCGTCGTCTTCTTCTTCCACCACCCTCTGCGAAATTACACTCTCGTATTTACAGAGACACACCTTTTCTTCCATTTTGCATCCCTTTTTACCTTCACAAACCCTAACGTATCCTTTTCCCCCTCTCTCTTTTTATATCTCTTCCCTTTCCTCGTGACTCTCCTTCCCCCCCTTCTCTCTCTCTCTCTCTCTCTCTCTCTCCCATTTCACATCCTCTCCTCTTTACTGGGCATTGGATTTCTCTAGGGTTTTGTGTGGTTTCCTCTCTATTCGAAAGCTTGCTGCTTTTGCTGTCTTAAGTTGGTGGGATTTTTGGATGGCGAAAACTTTGGAGATTTCTCTATTCGGGTGAAGGGGTTTGCTTCCTCATAGTGAGAATCCTCTTTTTCCCCTCTTAAAGTTTTGGCCTTTTTTCTTGTTTTAGTACTCCACAGGAAAAAAAAAAGTCTCAGCCTTTACTCTGTTTTTTGAGTGGTAAGAGGGGTTTAGGGTTTATCATCCAAAATCACAGCAAAAGAGGAAATTCCGAGTTTCCTGCAAAAGTTCTCCACTTTCTTGCTATACCATCGTCATCCACAGTACTGCTCGTACACTCTTCCTTCTGATTCCAGAAATCCGCAATTTTCCTAGAATAATTCATCTTCTGTCATTCAGGCTAAGACCTTTTCTCACCTCCTCCATTTCCAGAATTCCCCAGTTCACCAACCTCTGTTTTCCCGGAAAATCCCACTTTCTCGGCAACCAATCACCGACGGCTGATGTCGTCTTGTCTAAGCGGCGGCGGCGGAAGAGCCGCCGCGTACGGATTTGACCTGGAGATCGTGAAGTCTCCGCCATCGACGTCAACCACCAGCAGAGCAACCTCACACAACACTCCCTCGCCGTCTTCGACGCTGTCGGAGTCCAATTCGCCGCTCGCTATCTCCACCAGGAAGCCGCGGACCCCGCGGAAACGGCCGAATCAGACCTACAACGAGGCGGCGATGCTTCTCTCCACCGCTTACCCGAACATCTTCTCCTCCGACGCCAAGAAATCTCCCTCGAATTCGCAGTTCTTCGGGATTAAATCTCCTTGCAGTGATTTCGACGAAACCTCTGAGCTGCTTTTGCCGTTTGAATCGATTGAGGAGCCCGATATTCTGTTCCATCCGCCGCTGCCAGTGAAGACTGGTATGTTCTTCAAGCAGAAGGAGATGAATTTCGAAGGGAAGAGCAGCAGAGGAGGCGAAATCGATGGTTCGTGGGTGAATCGACTGGAGATATTCGACGATTTCGATGCGGAATCCATTCTGGACGAGGAGGTTGAAGAGGGGATCGACAGTATAATGGGCAGTGTCGAATCGAAAGAGGCGAATCACGAAATCGGCCGGTTAGGGCAAATGATGATGAATCCGTGGTACGGAAGCTCCACCGGATTCGGTTTCGCCGGAAAATTACAGTTGGGGCTCGGATTGAGGAGCACACTCCGAGACAATGACGACGCGAACTGGTGGAGATTTCCGACCGTCGATTTCGATCAGATCTCGCCAAGAATGCAATCTGCCCCAACCACAGCCGTAGCCGCCGGTAAGGTACGGAAGCTCCACCGGATTCGGTTTCGCCGGAAAATTACAGTTGGGGCTCGGATTGAGGAGCACACTCCGAGACAATGACGACGCGAACTGGTGGAGATTTCCGACCGTCGATTTCGATCAGATCTCGCCAAGAATGCAATCTGCCCCAACCACAGCCGCCCCCGCCGGTAAAGCCAAATCCGACAACAAAAAGAAGACAGTGGCGATGGCGGCGGAAAAGAATAAGAAGAAGAAGAAGAAGAAAGTTTCGCCGCCGGCGGAATCGAAGAGCTGCGAATCTGGAAAAGAGGATCGGGAATGGAATCCGAATCCGGAGGAGAGATCTGGTCTGTTGTTGAAGCTCGACTACGATGGCGTTTTGGAAGCTTGGTCGGATAAAGCTTCGCCGTTCTCCGATGAGATTCTAGTGCCGGACTCCGCCGGAGCCGACGGCGTCAATGTACGTTAAATTCACTCTCTCCGGCGATGTGGAAAGTCTCACCTTTCTTCTGAAAACAGAAACTATCGGGTTTTTTTTTTCTGATATTTAATTCTCGTAATAATCTTTCGGCGTCTGGTATTAACTGCTTATCTTCCGCCACGTGGCGCCTGAAATTAGCTAGGTCTCCTTAATTGTTTTATAAAATCTAGAGTATATTATATTAACACGGTAGGATTTTTATGTTGAAATAAGCTCTCTATTAGGGTTGACTTTGGTACGAGATGACGTGAAATTTTGTTGAAGTGTACATTTTTTTAATTTCATTTTCAATTTTAAAAAAACTTTGCACGTGGAGACTTATTGAATAGAAAATAAATAACTTTTGTGAAAAGTATATTATTAAAAATGGTTGCTACATATAAGGTAAATTGTTTATTTCTCTTTTAAATTTCTTATGCTCACTACGCAGGGTACACACCACCATGCAATCAATGCTTCGGGTGCCGCATCAGTTGGCGCAGCTAAATAAGAAATAAAAACAAATTAAATCATTGGAGAAAACTAATCTTAATCATCATCACATTTTTTTTTATTTCGTGAGAAAGCAATATATATTAAATGGAAATAATATATTTGCGACAAAGCTATATATATATATATATATAACACTTAAATTGTCCACTCCCCATTATTATATATATAAAAAAGAAAGTGCAAAATGGTGAATGAATATGATGACAGAATGATATGTGATGGTTTTTTCTGTTGATAGAGGAGTACTTGTTGGGAATGAGAGAAGCGAGTGTGCTGAGATATAAAGAGAAAAGAAGAAATCGTCTCTCTTCTCAAAGAAGATAAGGTACAAAGTCCGAAAGCTCAACGCCCACCAACGCCCTCGTCTCAAGGCTTAATTAGATCTAATCTAAATAACTGTTTTTGGTTGAACTTGATTAGGACAAGAACCTAACCATCGTTGTTGTTGTTGCTGGGTGGGACAGGGACGATTCGTGAGAAGCCCCAACGCCACCACTCCAACTGGAGAACGATAACGATGACCCCTCCCCTTTTGTTTTTGTTCCTCTTTTTAGGTTTTCTTTTTTTTTTTTAACAATAAGTGCCCCTTTTTTTTCCCGCAGACATATTATTGTAACGCACAAACAACAGAAATCAATTGATACAATTTGACATAATAACACAATCTAACATTAAACTAATCTCACCTCCCCAATATTTACCTCCTTATCAATTGAACGCCGAGCAAACCCGTCTTATCTCTCCGTGACGGCCGGTCTTGACCCCAATCCTCCCCATCTTCACCATCGACTCCACGAAATCGGCCTCGAAAAACGGCCCGAAGATCGGATTCAGCAGCCCGAAATAAGAATCCACTACCCGTCGGGTCATCTCGTCCTCGTACAGCCTCGCATCCGACTGCAGAACGGCGAATCCTTGCCTAATGTTCTGCAGAATCTGCTTGTCGAAGCGCCGCTCGCTGAAATGGTCGATGGGTAAGCGAGCATTGATGTCGCCATTTCGAGGGCAACGAGAAACTAGTTCGGGTAAAAACACTGGGTTGATGGTCGGGTCGGGTCCTCCTCCGGGCAGGAAACTGTAGAGACGTTTGGTCATAAAGAAGCACGCCGTTGTCCCGATAGTGTGAGCCGCTGAAACGGGAAAGGAGTGATTAATGCCATTAGAACAGAACACAAACACCTCTGTCGGATTTTATATCTTTTGATTTTGAACAGATTTCATTTCACAAATAAAAGTAGGAAAAAAAATACCATTGTCTTCTGAAGAATAGAATTTAGTTAAGATGTGTACACAGATATCAAGATGTGTGTCATAAAATCGAAGAAACGCAACGAGTCACGTGACACCAGAAAACAATGACAACTCATCAAAGGTTTCGGATTCATATAACTTGAACTTCGTACCAAAGCCTCGAGACCACCGAACAAGCATGACTTTACTCTGGAGAGAGAGAGAGAGAGAGAGAGAGAGAGAGAGAGAGAACATACCGCTGAGAAGGACGAGGTCTTTGGCATTGAGCCCCTTTCGCATGAACTTCGACTTCATCTCCTGCACAGAGTCGTCGATGTCTGGCATATCGCTGGCCAAGGATAGATTCGAAACCCGACCGTCTCTCCTCCCTGTCGGAACCTCGTACGCTGGCCCATTTGCCTGCCATCCCCAAAATCGCTTTCCTTAGGAAGCCCTTTCCTTTACGGCCAAGGAAAAGAGGAAACAAACCAAGAAGAAGAAAAGATGGATTCAATCTTTTTTTTTTTATATGTTGTGTGTTACCAGAGATATGGAGTCTCGAGCAGCCAAGGCGACGATGTCTGAACACGAGACAACACCTGGGCATACAGCTTCAAGCTGGGCTTTGGCCGCTTCTATCGTCTCGAACCCTCTAACCCCTTGGTGACCAAAGGCATTCCTCTCTGAATCGGCTCCGTTGTTCACCAGAATCGATCCGTCACATCCCTAAACCAAAGTAAGATCTCAGAAATGGCGCAGAAAAATGGCTTTCATCAAATAAGTAAAAGATCAGGAAATGGAAATTACCTCGACAAAACAGTCATGGAAATGGAGACGGAGAAGGACAGCAGGGATGGTAGGATCGGAGAGGAGAGCTCCTGTAACGACTCTGCTGATGATTGTCTCAGCTTCAGGGCATGTCTTCGAGTAGAACCCGACTTGGAGTTCACCAAAAGACATCACCAGGAAAAGTGAAAGCAGATACAAAGTGATACTCACCATTACCTTTGTCTTCGCCATGAGAGTTTTAGTAGAAAGGACTTCAAAGAGATGAAGATGCAGAGGAAAAAAAAACAAATACATACAGAAGAGGAGAGATAGGGGAGTTACATAAAAAAAGCTCTTCACAAGACAGCTATTTGCATGTAAAATTGTCACCTAGTAGCATCTATAAATACATACAAACAAATAATGTGATAGACTGACAGACGAACCACAGTCAATGACATCGCAGAGCTCGTTGAATAGATAAACATAAAACAGAAACAGGACACTTGTTATACACAGTCATTGTGCAAGAAACAAGACAATACGTGATGCAAAAGGAAAAATCAAATGAAATTGTTCCTTACTAACCCACATCATATCTTTCAACTGCTCAACTCGTTAGCCCTCGAAGGCTAAAAAGCATTCAGGCAGTTAAAACACAGTTTTCCAACTTGGGTATTACCGATGCAGCAGACGTTGTCTTGTTGGAGACACCCAGTTGCATTCCGACTGAAACTAAAGTCTCCAAGGATCTTGCGCTGTTTGCTAAGAGATCCTCGTCAATACGAATCGCATCCTGCAGAATGAATCAGTCAACACAAATTGATTGATGCACACCAAATCAATTTTCGTATTGTACACGTATTAGGGGTGGGCACGGGTCGGATACCCGGGAAAATCGAGAGATTTGGATTCGGATCCGGGAGGCTCGGGTATTTAACTATGAGATTTGTATCCGGGATTTGGTATTTACGAGTATCCGGGGTACGAGTATCCGGAATAATAGTCGGGTACTCGCGGATATCCGGATCCGGATTTATTTAAGAAAAACAACAATATTCATATATAAAATTTTTAAAACATGAAGATATATTTATAAAAATTGATGAATTATGATAAAATATATAAGACAAAAGAGATAATAAGAGACAAATAATAATAAATTTAATTTTTTTGAATTAATATTAAAAAAATATGAAATTATTTCATCTAAAATAATTGTATTTTATAAAAATGTTATATAAATATAAGATATAATTATTTATAATCATAATACGCGGGTACCCGCGGATATCCGGTTTTAAAAATTCTATTATCCGGATTTGGATCCGGATTCACGGGTATTGAAAAATAAGGATTTGGATTCGGATTTGAAAATTACGAGTACCCTAAAATCGGGTATCCGTGAGACGAGTATCCGACGGATACCCGATTTTCGGGTATTTGTGCTGTCACGTATACAGCTTCAAGAGCGGCGGTACGAACTTTTGTTGCATTCAAGAGATAAAAAGTTGGCTTATGGGCAGTAAGGAAGCAAAAATATAATTATCTGAAGTCCTTTTTAACTTATTATGTCGCTGGTACTCAAAGGATAGAAATTGATTTTTAGTATGCAAAGTATGAAACCGTGCTAACCTTCTCAAAGACGCATATAACTGTGCTTCCGCCGAATGAGAAGTATCCGAGCTGCATATCGAGAACGGTAACGAGAGTGAAGAGTTGGAAGGTACTTGCATAAGAGACATTTGTTTTTAAGTACTTTTCTTTAAAGTTGCTAACCTCATCCCCCTTCTTCAGATGCTCGCCCTCCTTCTTGACAAATGTGATGCTACCAACCATTGTTGCTCCAATAGCAACAAAAGCGACCTGTTACAGACATAGAGTTGAAAGTAAGTTCCGTCATGTGATCAGGTTTCATATTAGAGATTGATTTCCCGATCAGCTGATAGATTTCATGTATTTGTACATGTTAATATTCCAATCTTAGCACATGTTCAGAACTAAATGTTTCTAGTCATTCTAATTCTAAGCCATGGCATTACTTCTGTAGTATTCATTCGGCATTACTTCAGAACTAAGTGCTATTTCTTTTAAAATACAGACACGGGCACACTAATATTAAGAGACGATTAACAGAAATAGATGTCCCATGAGTACACGAGATCACAAACCTTTCCAAATTCCTGTGTCGAGATAATTGCCACAGTCCGTTTATTCTCTGTGAATACGTTGCAGTACTTGCTATTTACTGCAATGGGATTAACCTAGGAAGCAAGGTTAGATAAACAGGGAAACAGAAGAGATGGTCGTGAGAACACATGATAAAGAAGAAAGGAAGTGTTGAATGGTAAGAAAGACGAAAGGAAGGTGCATGACACAACATACTGTATATAAGCATCCAGGGATGTCCACAAACTTTTCTATGACTCCGGAGACGGGAGCATGGAAACGATGATAATCCTGTAACAAGTCGAATACACCATGTAAAGAAGAAACTAGTTAGCTTCTCAGCTTAAGTCTTGCATTTCGCAAGAAAGTATGCAGCCTTGTCTTCACCTGTGGGGCCAATCGGAATATCACCAAAGATCCATCAAGAAAGGCATCGGAATGCACATCCTTCCCTAGGAGGCCTTTAACTGAAAACTTTCGGCCCTATCATTTGTTGTTACGAGAAACAAAGAAAATTATCAGTAAAATTTAGGATGGTGAGCAACATCTACAAGATGAGTTTATCAGCTAAAATATTCATCTCAAAGTTTTTGTGATTTTACAGCTGCCTAACGTAATAAATGTAATGCAGCTACTCTAGAAACCAGTTTACCTTGATCCAGAAACGTGTGCAATTCTCTACAGATTGAAATGCCATTAATCGACAATCGGAAGCACAAACAGCAACATCATCACGATCCACGCAAGCAGCTGGTCTTGCACCAGTTTTTAACTCCCTTACAAAGAATTCATTGAATGTCTGCAAGTAAATGGTCAGCTTCTGAATCAAACAAAAGTGCACAAGGTCAAAGTTAAATCAAGCTATCTAAAGCACAATATTTTCGTAGACTTTTCCAGAAGTCCGTTAAAGCCAGCAGATAATCCAACTCAACTTTAAGTTGTTATCTACAGTGAACTTTTTCAGAAGTTAGACGTGCAGTCTATAGTTCACATCAATAGAAGCTTTGCTTTACTTACCTTAAAGTGATCCAGAGGATACTTGACTTCAGCCATGTTTATTTGATCCTGTAAGGAAGAGGGATATTTCAATTCTCAGGTCAATTTCACCTAAATTTTCACAAAAGAAAGATGATGCCACCAAAAACAAACTGGGGGAATTTGATGTGGGACCTGGCTCTATAGAGAAATAAAGAAGAAAATGTAAGTACATCCCAAACTCTAATCCACAAGTCCCCTAGTGACAGGTTGAAATCCAGCAGTAACTTAAAGAATGACAGCTTAATGAGAAGAAATTATCATGCCTTGAAAAACTCAAGAAACTTTGGTATATTTCGGGCAGATTCAACTGAGTTCATTTTCTTCCCTTGCTTCTCAGAAATATTCAGTAAAATCTCTTTTGCCCCTGCATGAAGGAGATCAATCCAGCAAGAATTACTTGTTTAATTTGGTACAAGGGCAAGCATGCGAGCTTCACAAGCACAGTAAGCACATTGCGACAGAAAATTTTATATCCCGGAGTAATAGTAATGGGATGCATTAGAGGCGAAAGAGAGAAAAACTGAGACTGTATACCTTGGTCCATAAGTCCAAGCCCGATTTTTGACTGGTAAATAGCTCTCATCGACAAAACAATCTTTGAATCAATCAACTCCTCCACGAGCCTCTTTGTCTTTCTATCAATCACCTAAAGCAACAAACAAAATACTAAGCAAAAGCAAGAGTGCCATGAATGCAATTTCATACGGAAGGGAGATGCTCAGAAGAAAGGCAAAAAAAAAAATAGAAGGAATGGCATGATATATATGCATGCATTAGCTCTAATTAGAATATAGAATTTTTAATATATGAATGGTGATAAAGGGCAAAGACGGTAGAAAGAGCACATACCACAATATGTGAAGCACTTGAACCGGTATTCAAGCCGACATCATACGTTGATAAATGAGCCCATTCGCTCAGTTTGAACATCCACCTGACAAATTGTTAACAATTCCAAATGTTGGTTAAGCCAGGAAATAGATTTATTACTTCAGTATCTGATCAAAAACTTTTAGAAATAAGATTCTCACCCATATGACGCCTGTCTATCGGTTAAGAACCCTCCAGTCATTATTTGATTACCAGTTCCTTCGTCAAAACAGAGAGTCATATGAATCATAGCATTGAGCTTATCAGAACTTGAAGAGTCTCACCGCACACGGGGCAATTATTTATAAGTGGCTCCCTGCGATAGAGGAAAGGGAATTACTGAAACTCAAATAGGCAGCGACTAATTTGGTCTGGAAAGAAACATTTCAGGATATATTATTCTACAATACAGCGTCTTTAAGGGGCCATTACTTTTCCTGTTGAAGGGCAAGAAGCGCAGCCAATTCATCTATGCTCACAACACCATCCCCATTCAGGTCAGCGGCTTTGAACAACTCCTCTTTCTGGTAAACAAGTTAGGGATAACATCAAGACGTTTTCCACCAAAATGCAACAATCCAGCGTCCAGTTTTGAAAATGTAGTCAGAGCTATTTCTTTTCCTTGAAACTTTTAGCAGACACAAAAATACAGGCACATGCAACTTATAGAGGTGGTAAAGCCGCGAAAGTTCAAACCTTGTTAGCAGCCACTAGATTGCCGAAAGCACTAATTAGATCAGCAAACTCTGAGAATGATAGCTGTCCATCTTCATTATAGTCCTGCATTTGTTAAAGAACTCAAGCTATCAATTTGAAGCACCCAGGATGACATAATACTCCGTAGAAAAACTGCTCAAGAAAAGCCATTAATGGTAGCATTCGGAAAATTCAAACAGAATCAGTGTGGTAGCTATTTGTTTCTTAGGGGACACAAATCTAGGCACAGCCTAAACAAAGTGAGACCAGAAAGACAAACACGAGGGGACATTTAAGAACGTACTATATAGAAAACATGCCACCACAAAACTACAAGACTGTAATTGATAGGGAGGACGATTGGGTAAAGCATACCACTATAGACAAGATGCGCTTTGCAAAACGCTTCTCAGTTTCAACAGGGTCCTGCACACATTAGCCACCAAAGATCAGCAACCATTTCCACTGCATTTGTCCAACCACGTTTCTACATACAGCAGACCTCAACAGAGCATGAAAGTAAGACGCTGCCAACAACTTTAGATGATGTTGGATCTAACAGGTCGAATGACTTACAACTCGAATCAGATTCCTGCATCATCCAAAAATAAAAGCAAAATAAGCATAAGAATAATCAATTTCTTGCCCATTCTTCGTGACTGACACTACAGTATGCACAAGGATTAAGAAGAATATGGCATGTAATCAGTGGTTAGTAATAAAGACTCAAATAAAATGAATTGGAGAATGAATAGCGAATTACAGAGTGGCATAACATACATACAAAGACAGACCAACTGACCTGAGTTAGAAACTCAAGTAGATCAAGCTCGCAATAACCCACGAGATTGTTCTTGGATAGCCTATTGGTCTGCACCAACCGAGAAAGTCTTGTCAACAGATCATTCCTCACTGGAAGCTGAATCTAGATAGAAGAAAACTAGATGATTTTCACAAACCTCGAACACCGAGATTCTCGCAAGACTGGGTCCATTTCTTTCCAACAGGAGCTTCTTTTCCTGGTTACTCATAATACACAGAAAATCCAACCCGAGATTAGCAACCCGAACTAGTCGCAGATACTTAAGAGTCGCAAATCGGTTTCAGATTTCTCACAGAATTCCAAATCGGCTTGTCCGTGCTGCAAAATCATCACAAAGAAAACGGTACCAGCATTTTTAGAAGAAGAGAAATCAAGCGAAGGGAGATTTCAGGATTGAAGAGGTGAATTAGGAACAGCATCTAGGGGGCCTTACTTGTCAGAGATTTCCGTACGGAATGTCTGTTCCCCGAAGGAAACGCAAGCGAGCCATTTGTCCTTGAACTCCATCTCCGCCTGAAACAGAGTCAAAACGACGGCGCATCACCACCGGTAACAGAAAAATGAAGTTCGCGAGGGGGAGAGAGAGAGAGAGATACGCCGATGAGAGTGAGAAGAGCAATGCCAGCGAAATCCTCGGCAGTCACGAGTCTCTGGCTGGCGGTGCCGGAGTCGTGACGGCGGTGGCTTTGCCGGAGCCATGACCTGCGCGGCTCCGTGGAGTTGCCGTTGCCCATCTCTCTGGTATAGCGCCTGGAATCGGAGGATCAGAGCCAGAGGAAGAAGAAGGAGGAGAGAGAAATTGACTGGCATGAACGCGCACTAACGTGAGAGTGGGTTTTTATTATATGAGATAATGATCGTTACGGGGAAGGTGGAGATGACTCAATAAATTACCACATTGTTTTTTTTTTCTGCTACATATAATTCACGTTGGGAAAAATATACTCAGATATTTTTTTGTGGAAATTTCACAAGTATCTCTCGCATCAACATCAGCTCAACTCTCGACCAAACCCAATGCATTCTTTTGGGTATAAATTAGCTCATTATATTTTTATGTAGTATATAAATTGGATAATGTCTAGGTAAACCTCATGAACTTCATCATTAGTTTTTCTTTCGGTATCCCCAAATAAAATAATGATTAACTAGACATTGGTTGATACGTAACCGAACGGTCTTTATTATATATGTATATAAAAAGGGAGGTCCAATTAATTTGATGTTTTTGTTAAGAACAGATACTACTTTACTAAACATAAAATGGTAAAATTATTATCATGCAATTGATAAATAGTTTAATGTTTGATCTGAAAGTATGAACAGATCCGTTTCGTGTTCAGAGGGGTGTGATTAAGTAAGTAAGCCTTGTTGATTCTTTCCTTGGAGAATGTTTCACACTCACAAAAGGCAAAATAGCAATTCTATTTTGTAAATTATAAATTAAAAAAATTACGAATTTTAATGTTACATGAGTCGAGTCAAAAAACTAACTCCAAGAAGAAAGGAGAAAAGCCCTCTCCATCTAAAGCATGTCGAGGAGAATGCAACTACAAGATAACATCAATTCTATATAAATAATAAAAAAGACAGATACAAAAAAGAAAATCTTTGCCTTTTTTCGTGTGTGTGAAGGAGAGAGCGCCATGGATTCTTTCAGAGGACAAGGTGGGATTCAGATGCTCTTGACGGCTGAACAAGAAGCTGGTCGTATCGTTTCGGCCGCTAGGAACGGTATCCTTCTCTCTCCCTCCCCTCCATTCTTTTCAATACTCAGATCGGTATTAGATACCATCTAATATCGTCAGTTATTACAGGACAGTGAATGTGGATCGACACAGTTACACTTGTTTTTTTTTTCTTGGGTGGATCAGCAAAACAGGCGAGACTGAAACAAGCGAAAGACGAAGCTGAGAAAGAAGTGGAACAGTACCGTTTTCGTTTGGAGGAAGAGTACCAGAATCAAGTTTCCGAGGTAATAACGTCAATCGTTATATCCCAACACAGCTTCAATCTCAATCTTCTTTGGTTTCCTGTCCAGACGAATCAGAGCGCCACTGCAAAGAAGCTGGAAGAGGAAACACAGGCCAAGATTCAGAATCTCAAGAATTCAGGTTCAAAGGTCTCTAAAGACGTGGTCAACATGCTCATCCACTATGTTACCACCACTTGATTCTTCACCTTTTTTTTTTATCACACTTACCCCTCCTCCCTCAGGCGTTTTTTTTTTTTTTAATGAATAAAAATCCATCCGTTCTCCAGCTTCCTCTGTCTTGACTCAGCGAGTTTAGCTCCTCCATACCACGTGCATTCAGACAAACATGTATAAAATGTAAATCATGAGTACTATGAAACATATCCCAGATAGACATTCTCTGTTTTAGAAGAAAATGGGAAGTGAAAACCAGAAACAGGACGACAAGAGAGGTTAAGTACGCTAAAATTGACAAATTCTACATAGGTTCAGGCGTGATCACAACTGGAACACACCTTGTGGCCAGCAAGAGGAAGGATCAATATAACACAACAGGCAACCAAGATGCAGTTTTCGCACCCATATGAAACCGAAAAAGGATTATGCCATCTTACCAAATTAAATATATAGTCCACGAGCTGCACTGAGAGAGGCCAACCGAAACAGTTCAATACTGAAGTGATCACATTCATAGGAGAAATCCTGTAACAGCAAAATTATGCAGTGAAAGAGATTTCATTGACAAAAAGGGACATGGATTTCAGAGACAGCCTGCCCTGCTTGCATACCTGTATTACATATGAAAGACCGAGAAGTGATCAGTGACCGACCGCCGCCATTGGAGCCATGGTCCTTGGCGAGCAGCTGGTGCTCGAGGTGGCGACGCTCGTTTGGCAAGGCAACGAGGAAGGAGAAGATCATGCCGGCAAAGCAGACATGGTAGAGAGGCTGAACCGAGCTGGTCTGAATGTACTTTTCGCTGTAATTATGGATCCCTCTCTTCGCGGAGTTCTTCAAGGGACCCAGCGACAACATTGGCTTCACGTAGGTTAGCACTTCCTTCACCTTCATGCCTTTGGTCTCGCTGAATACCTTCCTGATCGCCATTTTTGTTTGTTGTCAATTTCCTGCCGACGTCGGGGGAGAGCGAAACCCTAACCCTAGAATTTGGGGAATTATTGCTTCTCATCCGCGAGACACGGGAGGACGACGCGTTTTATAAGAATGATGAGTTTCTTTATTACGATTAAGATTTCATGTATGAGAATAAAGTAAATAGCAAGAGGAAGACACCGAAATTCAGTTGGGGAAAATATATCATGGGATTTGTGTTGGAAGATATGATTGTGATCAAAATAGAATATAGGCCAAAAATGAGACAAATTATCTAAAAAGAAAATTCCACAGATCATCAATCTTCTGTTACGCACGTTTTGGGGGAAGAGAGAGAGAAGCTGAACCTATAGTCTGTTAACGTGTTTACCCTTTTCATTTGTTCGTCATCGTCATCATCTTCTTCTTCCTCTGTCTCTCTCTCTCTCTCTCTGGCATCATATCAAACAGATCCGTTGGAGTGTTCAGATCTGTCGGAAACTCAAACCTAATTCCAGATTCTGATTCAGACAGGTTCTCTCTCTGAAAGTGTCGTAGAATCCATGGGAACGTTCCAAAGCTTCCGCAAAGCCTACGGAGCGCTAAAGGACACCACCACCGTTGGCCTCGCCAAGGTCAACAGCGAATTCAAGGTTCCATTCCCATATCCTTTCCCCCTCTGTATGCGCAATGTAGATTCTGTGTACGAAGATCACCAACGAACGATATGAATTCATTTTTGGTTTATAGGATTTGGATATTGCCATCGTCAAGGCCACGAATCACGTAGAATGTCCCCCTAAAGAACGTCACGTTCGCAGTTAAGAACTCTCCATTTTCGATACGTTGAAAGGCTCTGATCCATATAAGTTTCTGATTCCAGAGATCTTTTGCTGTCTTTTCCTTAATTTCAGAAATATTCTCGGCGACGTCTGTTGTACGGCCAAGAGCGGATGTTGCTTACTGCATTCACGCACTCTCCAAGAGATTGTCCAAAACTCGCAACTGGATCGTGCGTGTTTCCTCTTATTACACGTTTCCTTTCCGAAAATCCGATTTTATATATGATTTCCACTGAAATGTCTGCATGCACGTACGCAGGTCGCAATAAAGGTGTTGATAGTGATTCACAGAACATTAAGAGAAGGCGATCCCACTTTCAGAGAGGAGCTTCTGAATTACTCACACAGAGGACATATACTCAGAATCTCCAACTTCAAAGACGATTCCAGCCCTCTCGGTGAAAATACCCTCTATCCCTTTTCGTTTTTCTGTCACACCTCATGGCCGAATTCGCCGTGGCAACGTTTGAACTTGGCTTTTGTCTTGTCCGAGACGCAGCCTGGGACTGCTCGGCCTGGGTTAGGACATACGCTCTGTTTCTGGAGGAGAGGCTCGAGTGTTATCGTGTCTTGAAATACGACATCGAGTCAGAGCGTTTGCAGAAAGCCTCTGGTGCCGCTTCCAAGGTTCTGTTTCTGAACTTTAGATTTTTATATATAAATATGTCACAACCCCTTGGCCAGAACTCGGGTTTAAATGCTTTGCAGACGCATAGGACGAGGGTACTGTCTGGAGAAGACTTGCTAGAACAGTTACCTGCGTTACAACAGCTTCTTTACCGGCTTGTCGGCTGTCAGGTAAGATCATATTTCAGACCAAACTTTACATTTCGTGTCCTAAAAATGTGAAGAAAGAAAATTCTAAGTTGGTATCAGTTGTGCAGCCTGAAGGAGCAGCCTATAGCAACTATCTGATCCAGTACGCACTCGCGTTGGTGCTTAAAGAGAGCTTCAAAATATATTGTGCAATCAACGACGGAATCATTAACCTCGTAGACATGGTAATGATGTTCTGTCTTAAAACTCCCCCCTGTCTTGTTCTGCTGAAGTAAAAGCGTGTATTTCTGCGTGCCTCTTCAGTTCTTTGAGATGTCAAGACATGATGCAGTCAAAGCTCTCAATATATACAAAAGGGCTGGTCAACAGGTGAGAGATAGCCACTGCCTTCTTCCTTCGAATCTTCTCTTTAGGTTTCAAACTATGCAACTTGTTCAAATTGTTTTTCTTTGTGCAGGCTGATAATCTGGCTGAGTTTTATGAGTACTGCAAAGGGTTAGAGATCGCGAGGAACTTTCAGTTCCCGACGTTGAGACAGGTCCTTCAACTTTGCAACCCGAGTTCTGTCTGATTGCGTACATCACGAGTCTAACAAAGTGTGCTCGTTTCCTAATCTGGGTTTCAGCCTCCACCATCTTTCCTCGCGACAATGGAAGAGTACATTAAAGAGGCTCCTCAAAGTGGTTCTGTTCAGAAAAAGCTGGTATGATACTGAGATCTCATCGTATCTCGATCCAACACACGAGCTATCAGTACCGGTTTTTTACTTTTTTTGGCCGTTCGCTCAGGAATACGAGGAAAAGGAGGAGGAAGAAGAACAAGAAGGAGAACAACCTGAAGAAGAGGAAGGCCAGAAGGAAGCTGAAAACATCGAAGACAACAAGCCTGTAACCGAGGAAGAAGAAGAAGTGCCTGAACCTGAAGTAGAAAAAGAAGAGGAAGAAATCAAACCGGCGAATTTGATAGACACCGATGACCTATTGGTAAGTCATCTTCCTATTCACCCGGAAGCCAACTGTTATTACCACCAGTGACCATTGTCGTCTATCCTGTCCTAATGGTTGCAGGGTCTGAGTGAAATAAACCCAAAAGCTGCAGAGATTGAGGAAAGCAATGCATTGGCTCTCGCAATATACCCACCAGGTACAGACGCCTCCTTTCCATATTCTTCACACCAAAAAAATGTCCCTTTGGTCGATGATACCACTTCCTCTCCATAAAAAAATGCTCCAAGAACCATACTTGAGAAACAAGTTTCATACTGCAAAACTACAATCTCGATCGGTGACCCGTTTTCCATTGGCGTGAAAACGTCTATCCAGGGCACGAGGCTTCAGGTCCATCTAACAGTCTAAGCTTAATAGAAGCCAGTGGAACGGGGTGGGAACTGGCACTGGTCACCCCTCAGAACGATAACAACAAAGTTCCACGGCCAGCGGTAGAAACCAAACTTGTAAGTTCCCATATCTCTAGCCTAAACCCGAGATTTTTACAGGACAAAACTTAAAAACCGTTGGTGGGTTTGTGTAATAACAGGCGGGAGGATTCGACAAGCTTCTATTAGACAGCCTCTACGAGGACGAAGCAGCGAGGAGACAGATACAACTGACAAACGCAGGATATGGGCATGGAGGAATGGCTGTAACAGCTCCTCCAAACCCGTTCGAGATGCAGAGAGATCCGTTCGCCATGTCTAACACCATTGCACCTCCGACGAATGTTCAGATGGCGATGCTGTCTCAACAGCAACAGCAACAACAGTACGAACAACAACAGCAACATCAGATGATGATGATGCAGCAGCAGCAGCAGTATCAGTACAATTACTCGACAAACCATTATCACCATCACCAGTTCCCAAATCCCGCTTCTTCTTCTCCTAATCCATTCGGAGATCCTTTCCTTGCTCTTCCCGCTCCCCCTGGCTCTTCTGCTCCTCAACACCATCAACCCACCTCTCATCACCATATGCTTCTCTAGACTCTCTCTCTCTCTCTCTCTCTCTCTCTAAGAGTTTGGTTCATTGATTCGTTTATATTCAGGGCTATATATTGTCATTCTTTTATTCTTTCTAGTGGGAGGATTTCGGTGTTCCCTTCTTTTCATCTCTACAATCTGTTCACATTTGTTCCTTCTTTGTCTTAACAATGCTTCGTATAAAGATGTGTGATCTCTTCCAAAGATAATAAGGAGACGACGCAATCAGATATTCTTTTCGTAATCTTTTTATGGGGCAAAACACTACTGGTCTGTTTCCCAGCCATTTTCTCTAAATGGACATTGAGAAAAGAAGTAACCGGCTCCATCGCCAAACAGCTGACCTTATATGTATACAAATGCATATACGGTCGTAGTGTACAAATCGTTTGCATTGACATTGATCGCTTTTGTTCCCCGACACTTCTTCCCCTCGTCGGAATCTCAACTCTCCGACCAGACCGGACGGTTTCTCTGGCTCAAAATGAATACGTAGAAACATGTTTTGTGTAAACTACATTATCGTGTGGAGAAAAAGGGTCGTCACATTAAATTTTTGGCTGGCGAAGTAGTTCATGGCACTTTAAAAGCCGAGATTCGATCTGATTCGATGGAACGCAGATTGAGGTATGGCGAATAATGAATACAGAATACGAATAGGTCACCGGTTCGCTGGTGCTTTGACTTTTTGCCATCGTATCCCGCCTATATCTAACTTATAATATAAGTTGATGTCATGAGAACACATACAAAACTTTATAACACGTGACATGATATGACAACCGTGGGTCCCTTTGGTCATAGTATAATTCTACTGTGAACTATATCAATCAGTGAGGCCCATGCGAGAAAGTTTCTCCTTTTGTCTTATAAAAGATGCTGGAAGAGATATTTTATTCAACTATCCGCAAACTTACTCTCCAACGCTCCACACACACACATTCATTGCTACCATATAGTAATAACAAATAACAGTAATGCACGAAACTCAATAAATCTAACTACCATCATGTCTTCCCTTTACTCCAATTGCTGGTCCGACACTTCTCTGTGTTTTTCTTCTTCTTTTTCCTAGCAAAATTCTATAAATTAACAGGTTCTCTGTCTGTTTCCTTACAAAAGAAGATCTCGCTTCACTTCGAGCGATCTTCCTTCTCCTACGAAAAAAAAAACAACAGAAGAAACAGTTCTCCTTCTCGATGGTAAATGTGTCGCCACGTCTCCAAGTGGTTCTTGTATCGTATACGTAAATTGGTGTTTTGTTATTGTTGTTTCCATGGAACCTTTGATTTCAAAACAATGTTTACATTAATCATTGTGCAAGTCTTTCCTCTAATTGTGCGAATTTTCGCGACCCAATACAGGCCGAAGCAGAAACTGCAAAACGCGTGGTGATAGCGAAGCCGTATTCGTTGGGAGATGAAAAAGACTCTGAATACACGGCTCCTAACTTCCTCCGTCGGATTCTAAGCCTCTTCAAGAACGTACGCCCCGGCTCCGACCTCTCTCACTTTCAGGTATATAAACCCTATTTCTTCTTCTCCTTATTAATTTTTATAACAAGGGTTTAGTTATTATTATTAATTTTAATAACAAAGGTTTGGTGTTAATTAATTTGCGTTTATTCATGGCGAGTTTATACATTTATTTATTATTAAAAAACAACCCACACAGAATCAATAATTGCTTGTCTGTTTATATTCTGGGCACTGCATGCATGCATGCAGGTAGAGGCAGAACTTTTGCCCTTCATTCCTTTCCAAAAACATCATAAACGAGGAGTGTACACTGAGTCATATGAGGTTATAGATATTCTCCAAAGATTCGAAACCCTTTTTTTTTTTATCTGAATAGCTATAAAGTTTCAAACCCTAGTTTCCACGAATTTGATGGTTACACATCAGCTAACAAATCAAACCCTGATTTAAGATATAAACTCTATTATTAAGAAATAATTAGGGGAAACAACATATCATTTTGAAGCAAGACAAAACAAACACTGTTATAGTAATTTGGTAAGGACACTCAGTTCACTTGGCTTTTACTTATTTGTTTATTTTCTGGTGACGATTTGTGAATGAATATATTATACCGAAAATAATTTTTAAGTGTAATATCCATTCACATTGGAAATGGTGTTAACACATGGCTTAGAGTTAAACACCAACGCAACGACAAAATAATAATCCCCCATAAGTTAATAGTCTCTTCTCATTTATTTTGTATGGTTAGAATATTGGTTGTACCATCAATGCTTCTCTCATTTATAGTTACATAACCCTATCATCATTTTCTATGAATTGACTCGCAATGTGACGCCCACGTAGACATGTTTGATCTTTCTTTTCTTTTTTTTTTATTTAATCTTTTATGTTTTGTTTGGTCAGGTGAAGATGCCACCTCCTTTGAATCTACCAAAGTCGCAGCTCCAATGTTACGGGGAGTTAGTGTACAGCTTCGGCGGCCAAGATTTGCTGGGCATGTGTAACCACGGAGATAGACCGATCCAACGGCTGAAACGCGTGCTGACGTGGAACATCTCCACCATCCGACCGTTGATCTTCGGCATGGCTCCTTACAACCCTCTCCTCGGCGAAACTCACCACGTCTCCCATGCACATATCCACGTCATCCTCGAGCAAGTATATGTCCAACATATAATCACACTTCTATTTCACATTTATTTTTCTTCTATTTGAATTTGTGACTACATATCATAATCAATGATACGTAACACGAATTTGACTACATATCGTAATCAATGATACGTAAATTTACAGGTGTCGCATCATCCACCGGTATCTGCACTCCACGCTTTTCACGAGAAAGAGAACATTGAAATGATTTGGTGTCAATACGTTAACCCAAAATTTCGTGGTACGTTATAGATTTATCCTTAGAAAGAAAACCACCACCATAATCACGATTAACCGCATACATTATTGCACATATATAACCCTAAATTAAAATCATTACGATGTTCGTATAATTAATCGATCGATCGATCTTGAATTAACAAGGAGCCTATGTGGAGGCTGAGGTGAAGGGTAAAAGGACAATGAAGCTGTTGAATAGAGGAGAGACTTACGAGATGAGCAGTCCAAAGCCTCTTATGAGAATCCTGCCTGTGCCTGGTGCTTACTGGACCGGACACACCCACGTCAAGTGCTCCGAGACCGGTCTCGAGGCTCAGTTACATTTTCCGACCGATTCCTTCTTCGGGTTTAGAGGAAACAATCGATCCATTAAGGGCAAAATCTTCGAATCTCGTTCCGGGAAAACACTGTACGAGGTTTACGGCTACTGGGACAAGTAAGCGTTGCTCGTACTGAAATCTGGAACGTATAAGATTAGGGTTTTAATTAGTTACGTCACCTAAAGATAATTAAGGAGGGTGCATATGCATTTATCACTTTTAAGGACGGTGAAGGCAAGGGATATGAAAACAGGAGAGGAGGAGGTCATATACAATGCCAAGGATAACATCTCAGCAATCGCAACTCCCATCGTCCAGAACTTAAAGGTATGGACCAAGAAACTCGACATCTTTCGCTTAATCCTTCCGAATATATGCATAAATACATATACAGGGACAGACTCTCTTGTATATCAATGACATCACAGACTCCATTTGTTTAATTACAAAAATTTACTTTCTTTATAGATTTTAAATAAAATTATTAAATACCCTATAACAAAATTAAATTTTTCTCTACGATTTTTTTTTTGTGATCCCATTCTTTATTATTGCACCGGTTATAAATTTGTCTGGATCCACAACTTTCTCTCTCTCTATATATATATATATAAAATGTTGTGTCGGATGCAGGAGGTGAAGGAGAGCGAGTCGACATTGGTGTGGAGCAAAGTGAGCGAGGCGATAATGGCGAAGGACTGGGAGAGAGCAGTGGTCGCGAAGAGGGCCGTGGAGGATAGACAGAGGGAGTCCGCGAGGGAAAGAGAGGCATCGGCCAAGACCTGGACTCCTCAGCACTTCTCGGTGAGCTGTAACGGCAACGATTGGGATTGCTCCCCTCTCGACACCACCGTCCCTCCGGCTCCCATCGTCCTGACCTGACTCACCAGGCAAATGGCTCATGTACACAAAATTCACGCAATATCGTGCATGCGTATATCTGTGGCTTATCATTTTAAACAGGGGCGGGCAAAGTTACCCGTATCCACGGATAACCAACTTGCAGAATCCGATTTTAGAACACTCAAACGTCATTAAAAATCCAAATCTGAATCTTCAAATCAAAATCCAAATTCGAATCACATGAGTTTGAAAATCATTTGGTTTAATCACCGGTTCACTTCCTTTGATCAGCAGATTATTCGGTTTAGCCATCATCACAAGTATAGGGTGCCTTTAACTCCCCAAAACAAAACAAAAAAAAATACATACTTTATATCTGAATAATAAAACCGTATTCTAACTCTGAGCTGTATCCATATTCCTAAGAATCCCGAGTATCATGACATTCTCTGTAGATACCAATGAAAACATAAACGGGTACCAAACCGAACCATACACAAAAATGTCAAATACCAAAATCCTTAACCAAAACTATCCCCTCCGGTTGCATCCTACATGATAATCAGGCTTGCCTAAGCTTCCCCGTCAACCCGAGACATCCAATTTCATTATAAATTTACAGTAAGAGCGATCTGGAATTGTCGGGTCCCCAAGAATGGTCGGGAGGTTCGGTTCAAGATTCGGTCCGGTTATCTCAGATCATAGCGTGCCGGTGAAATTAGGGAAGAGGCTAACCAGTGGGTTGAGAGCGTCCCGGTGGAACTTCCTAGCGAAGAGATAACAGGGTCTTCTTATTCCGTTCCATGTGCATGGCCATCGAAGCTCATCCCCATGCTTCAACCCATCACACAAAACGCAGTTTTTCAGCGTTTCACACGCAGTAGCAGCGATTTAATGCAGAAGAAACAAGCCTTTGGATATATTACGTACCTTGCCCATGCTTGTAACATGGACGCTCATGTCGTCCCACTGCATATAAATGAGAAAAAAATTTAATAAGATTTAGATTTGATCTGTGGAAAACGCATAGAAGCGTGATTTCAACAGTTCTTGGCATTTCTTCAAACACAAACTCTAACGTGGGATGGCAAAAAACCCCGAAATTTGGGTACCAAACACTGTATGAAATGAGATGAGATCGTGTCTCTCTTTAGAAAACTCTAACTCCGGGTTTGGATTCGGGTACGTAATCACCCGAGGATACCGAAGAATAGTTAATTCACGGTTTGAACCCCCAGGTTTTAATTATATTACATAAAAACTTAAACATAAGTTTCTTCCACTCTTACAATTAACCTTATCGTTTCACATCTTGAATAGTAAACTGATAAATTCAGAATGAACTCTAAATGGTTCTTAGACATAAATATGTACTTACTGGTTATGGATAGATTTATAAGCATAAATGTGTGAAAAATTGGCCAAAATGGGTTTGAATGTTCAGGTTCCCTTACTTATGGGCAGCCGAAAATTCTCTCGGGTAGTAAGACATATAACCCGACACATTCGGGTTCAAGTCTGGATATCCGACCCATGCACATCCCTACACTGAAGTAGCAGAGGAAGGTTCTGACATACCGTGAGATTTTTGAAGAATTCGTAGGAAATATCTCGAGCTCTGTACGTCTTCGGATGCCACCTTCTTTCTGACCAGTCGACGTAAGTCACTGACCAGTTTGAAATTCCCGCAGGATCGAGCATCTGAACGACCGGAAAAACCCGAGCCAAAGTGTTTGCTTCAGAGGTCAACAATCTGAAGAACTGCTAGAAAGGGTTAAGACTTATGTAAAAGGCGTAAACCCTTACATGGAAGAACGTCGGGAGGTAATGCTCGTCGGCTATGCAGTTTTTGTTTGCTTCCACGCCAGGCTGCATATTCAAGAAACTTTCATTTCAAAAACAAGAAAACAGAGCGAATATCGCTTGTAAACCTTTCGATCGATCCGTAAAAAACCCGACAATACCAAATCTTGTAAGCTTAGCCCAGAAAATTTGGATCGTAACGCAAAACTCAAAATTTTTATGCATGTCATTGTTATAAATAGATCGGGATACATAAACGGGAAAACCTACCCTGCAGTACTCTCGGAATTTCGCATAGTAGAGACTATCGGCCATCACTATCACAGCATGTTGTCGCTTCATTGTGAACCACTGTCGAAAATGCCAAAAAGAGAAAGAGTTTTAAACCAAAGAACAACTCATTTTACCAAAAAAGGTAAGTTTCTGATGTATATTCTACAACTACGCATATATATAATCCTCACGTTATAAATATCCTGAAACTGTATAGTTGTATCTGTATATAGATTTCGAGTTTCGGGTTAGGTCGCTTATATTTTTCTTCGTTCGGTGTTTTACCTGAGCACCCTTTCTAAAATCTTCCCGGGGGATTTCAGGTAACATGTGTTCCATGTGCCTGCCTGTCCCGTGTGGACCTAGATCCTCAAAACTTAATATCGAAGCCGTGAGTCAATGGAAGGCTAATGTAACGATAAACTCTTTTTAACATAAGAATAGATGGATTTACCAGTCGATGAAGCTAACGTTTGCGTAAATCAAGTATCGGTAGGTGTAGTCAAAAGTATGAATCGGTATACAGCTGCAGAACTCGAGACGAAAGAGATTCTCTGATAAGGGAATCACGTTGAAATCATTACGGGGTAATATCAGGGAAAATGGCATTGAAATTACCTCTCTGAGAGAAGAATAAAGTGTTGATTGTCAGGATCTTCAAGAGCGGTAGCTAAAAGCCGCCTCTCTGCATCAACCATCGAAATCCTTCCCCATATTACCTACACGTTTCGAAAAAAAAAACAAGAAAAAGATTTCAAGAATGCACGAGTTTCGTTATACACATTTTAGTGTTTATTGGCTTTTTCACTGGACCTGGTCACTGTGGATTTCGCGATCAGAAAAGTAACGGCTGATATGAACTGGTCTTTCCTTCGATGGATGTATGTATACAGAGAACTTTCCCTCGTGCCCCTTCATGTGAACACAAACGATTATCAGCATTAAGATCAATCATGCTCCCGATTGATTCGTATATACATGTGTGTATGTATGTGGGTGAAAAGCAGCCTGATAATTAAGCAAATGGCGTTATTTCCCAGGTTTTACCTCGAAAAACTTATCCCAGAGCTTCTCAAATGGCAAAGAACCCGGAGTTAAGAACAAGAAGGCGATTTTTGAGCTTTTAGTTATAGCGGGAGGCGTTCTCAAGATGTCTCGGATCACTGCACGGGCAGCTATCTCCTCATCCGTGTATTTCCTCACGTGAACCGGAAGCCAACCTGATAGAGCTTGACATCCTCTGGAAGACAGACCATGACATGGGCTTCTGCTGTGTTGCTGGAACATGTGAGCACATACCAGAAGTACACTTGTGATTGAAACTAACACAACGATCCATAAGGGCTTCTTCAGAGAAGAACGGTGGCGTGGCCCAGACAAGTGCTGCGTATCGCCCATCGAAGCTGCCAAGCTGTCCTGTCCCGACCCACCTTTGATCTTAATCGAAATGCATCAAAGTTTGAATCTTTACCTCTTTACACTTCTTTTAACATCAGGAAGCCTGAGGAATAATGATATGAACGCATAAAAAGGGTCAAATTACTGTTGATCAATGATGAACAATGAACACAGAAAATCTCCGATCATGGAACCACCATGGATGCTACCGGTCTACTCGCAGGTATAAGATTACTGACTAAAACTCTCAGAGAGTAGAAGACAACAGCAAAGTAAATACACCAAAAAAAATGATGGGCCAGGCAAGATTTCTGCAAAAGTTAAGCTATATGACATAAAGAGCAATTGAGGATCATGCCTATCAGCATTCAGACCAGTCTGTGGAACTTGTCACAAGTAAAACCACAAACTGAGAAGAAACTGTGCATGCCAATTCTTAAAATTGCAATAGGATTGACCCCAGATTCAGCGATGAAACAAAAACAAATATACAAAATCCAATATGCAAAATGTAAAGTCATATCACCCATTGCTTTAATCGAAAGGCACAAAGGTTTGAGTCTGCACACACACTTTTCTTTACATCAGGGAATCTGATGGAATATATGAACCCGAGAGCAACCAGGGCCTTGATCAAATGGCAGTTCATACAAGAAATAGGAGTTTATTTTCAATCCAAGGGAAGGGAAGGAAGATGGGAGAGCCTTAGTTCATCAGATCATGCAGATGACATGAATGTTAACGTTGTCTGGAAAACTTTAAGAAAGTGGACGACAAGAGCAAAGGGGTCAGCAGGAAATACGGGAAGC